TATAATGTAATGCTATACCGAAGCTTCTACCGGGTGATTGTCGAGCGCGTCATGCTCGGCGACAATGGCTCCACGGAGTTCACCAAGCCTACCATTCTGGGCCTCAAAATGGGCGTCTACCTCTCTCTCTTCTACTATTTCAGCACAGGTCCGCTCCCTCGTGTCGTGTGTGTCGTGTGTCGTTTTGTGTTGGAGGTGCTGACGCCATGGCGTGTTTGCATACGTAGACCCCTACGGGGTCTTCTTCAGCGCACCCTGGCTATCGAAGGAAGTGGCCACGCTGATCATGATGTACTACCTCATCGCGACCGGACTGACCGTGGTCCTGCTGGGTCCCATCGCGCCCTTCCCCGTCAACCTGCTCGAGCGCATCCTGCCCTCGCACCTGATCGCCGGCCACCCGTTCAACGATCTCAACGTCCTGCCGCCCCCGGTCTACTACCCCGGCAAGGCGCGCATTGCCGAGGCCCGCGAGGCCATGATCAAGCGCCACAACGTGCTGCCAAGCTTGAGCAAGAGCAAGAGCAAGGCCAAGGCCAAAAAGTACGCCGACGAAGACGAAGACAAGTACGCCAACTACGCCAAGGAATTCAAGGAATCCATGGATGTGAAGGACGCCAAGGATGTGTAAGGCATTTTGGCCCGCGGCTATGCATCGGTTGTCTTTCGTGGGTGCGTTGCGTGCCGTGTGTGTGTGTGGTGCGCGTGTGGTGCGCGTGTGTGGTTCTGTTTGCTGCGACCGGGTGGCCTTGCTCCAGCACTCAGTTCACAGATTGGTCGGTTCTGGCGTAATCAGCCCGCGGCTCGCTGCCCTCGGTGATGACCAGCACCCTCCGGTACTGCCGCCCCTGCTTCGCCACCACTTCCTCTTCCTCGTCACCCTCATCATCGTCATACACCTCGTCCACGTGTCTCCATCGCTCATCGCCTGCGTCCGCGCCCTTCTCGTCCACCACCTTCACGCCCGCGAGCTGGTGGCCGTGGAGCGTGGTGTGGTCGCGCCACACGGAGAACACGACGCAGGACACGCCGAGCGACGCCAGGGTGATGCCCGAGACCAGGTAGTAGATCAGGCCCGGCCCGTTCGTATGGAGCAGCTCCGCCATGACGGGCGCGACGGACCCCGCAGCGGGGCGCCTCGAGGCCAGGTAGGCGAAGAGCGAGTTGAACAGGAGCGGCCCGACGAACGAGGTGAGCGTGTAGAGCGACGAGAGGACCCCGAACAGCTCGCCCTGCCGGTGGGGCGCGAACTGACGCGAGATCACGCCCTTCATGAGCGGCGTCGCGAGCTGGCTGAGCGCGCGCACCCCGATCAGGGCGTAGACCAGGTTGCCGTCGGTGATGATCGCATAGACGAACGCCGTCAGCTGCACGCGAGAGAGTGGGCCGCGATGACGTCAGCAGCACGATGTTTAACGATGGTGGTGACGTCAGCACTACAGGTGGTCTGTGGTCGGTACCGCGCTGTCGGCCAGGGCGAGGAGGATGGCGGCCTTGTCGTTGACGAATCGGATCACGAGGCGGAGGAGTAGGCCCTGGGCCAGGATGCAGCTGACGCCCCAGGCCGAGATCATCAGCCCTGCGTCGCGGCGCCAGTCAGCAGTGGAGATGGTTCGACGGGGGTTGACGGAAGGAGGTACCGATCTGCAGCGAGTCCCAGTGGAAGGTGTACTTGAAGTAGAGGACGTAGATGCTCATCATGCCCTCTTCGCCCAGAAACATGAGGAAGTAGGCCACGGCTGAAGCACACCAACACACGACACACACACACACACACGCACGCACACGACACGACACACACACACACACACACACACACACACACACACACACACACACGACACACAGCTGAGAACAACGAGCGTAAAGGAGGTGGGTGCGGTGAGGACCTGTGCCCAGGGCCAATCTGCTCTTCCAGAGGAGGGACACCGAGCGGAAGGGGATCGCCCTCGACCACCTCCAGGGCTTGGCCTCCCCGCAGCTGGCGGGCCACGATGGCAACGTTGATGGAGGTATGCAGCGTCAATCAATTTGGTGTCGCGTCTTTGGTGTCGCGTAGAGGCAGGTACCTGCTATCGCGTGACTCGGGCACAACGAACACGACGAAGAAGATGTCGGCAGCGATGACCGTCGCGGCGAGGCTGAACGCGATCGTCATCGAGAACTGCTCTGCCCCCCAATCAGCTCACTGGCACTTCTGTGGTGCACCACAGCTTGGGCTCGGACCTTGCTCAAGTAGCCCGAGAGCGCAGGACCGCACATCATCGCCAGGCCCATGGCCGCTCCCTGCAACCAGCGACCGATGGTGAGTCTCACCACCGCCTTGTTCAATATGTGCGAGCGCGCGCGTGGTGCGTGTCTGCGTGCGTGGTGTGTCGTGTGTCGTGTGTCGTGTGTCGTGTGTGTGCGTGTAATTAGGCGAGTACCAGGAGTCCGAAGTTCTGGCTGCGGCGGTGGGGCTCGGACACGTCGGCGACGTAGGCGTAGGCCATGCAGAAGGCGGCCGACGTGGTGCCGCTCAGGGTGCGCGAGATGAAGAGCACCCAGAGGGGCAGGTCGAACAGCACCGCCGCGCCCATCACCAGGTAGTCCACACCGCTCCCCATCTGCTCCCTTGCCTCAGCTCACCGCACACGCACACGCACACCGCACACCACACACCACACACGGCACACGGCACACCGCACACGGCACCCCGCACACGGCACACGGCACACCGCACACTGCGAGGGCGTACCAGGGAGAGCACAAAGACGGGCTTGCGGCCGACGTGGTCGGAGAGCAGACCGAGGACGGGGACCGTGAGCAGAGTGGCCAGCGCGTTGGCTGGTGCGCAGTTCGTGAGCCCAGACCACCACCCAAGCGCACCACTTTGTGGTGGGGAAGGGGCGTATAGGCGCTGAGGAGTCCGAGGGAGAGCGAGGCGCGGCTCAGGTCGCCGCCGCACAGGGCGGCGACCACCTGCGGGACCAGCGGGTAGGCGCAGGCCATGGCGAAGGTGGAGAGGCAGAACGCCACGAAGATGAACACCACGCGTGGTCGGCGTAGTCGGCGCGGCATGCACCCATCCCCCACCCTGCTGCTGCTCTCCATCACCACCTTCATGCTCTTCGCTGTTGGGCCGCCTGCAGCCAGACAGTACTGTTGCATCCCTGCACTTGAGTAGATGGTGAGCGCTGTCAGTGCTCTAACATGTTGTCTTGATAAAGCAAGCACTCACTCGCAGTTCCAGACGACAACTCGAGGATCACTAAACTAGTGGTGGAGGTTCCTTATTGGTTCGGCAACTCCGTCTTTAAGGAAATTGCTGATTGGACCACTGCCTCACTCCATCGAATTTCATTTTTTGTCCAACAGAAAAAAGCTAAAAACTAAACAAAAAAGAAACAACAACGCAACGCACATAAGATGGAGGCCGCACGAGGAGCGTTCGATATGCGCAACCACTGGTACCCGGTGGCCTTTGCCAGCGAGCTGCCACGAGGGGCGGCGGCGACAGGGTCGAGGCCGACCGACCCCTACGGCTTCCAGCTGCTGGGCGACCCCATCGTCCTGTTTCGGGACCAGCACGGCGCGGCCCAGTGCGTGCAGGACAAGTGCTCCCACCGCTCGGCTCCCCTCTCCGTCGGCACCGTTCGCGATGGCCGCCTCGAGTGCAAGGTACCTAAATATATGATTTATTATTTTATTTATTATTTTCTATCATATTTTATATTTTAGTATATTAAATAGACTAAAATAATATATGGAAATGTTGTGTTTGAAGTACCACGGATGGCAGTTCGGGAGTGGTGGCAAGTGTGAGTCGATCCCGTCGGAGCCGACCACCAGGCCCGGCAAGCCCTTCTGCGTCTACGCCTATCCCACCACCGAAGTCTACGTGCGCCTGACCGCACACGCACACACGCATAACACGCACACATCACCGCACACGCACACACGTCACAGCACGCACACAGACCACTAAGCCGGTGGTTCTTCCCTACGCGGCGGGCAGGACTTGGTGTGGGTGTGGCCAGGGGACCCGGAGAAGGCGTCCGAGCAGCACATCCCCCACCACCTCTTCAAGGAGTACCGCGACAAGAGCTGGGGCAAGGACACCGTCACCCGCGACTTTGACATGTAACCCACCACCGCACACGCTCGACCGCACTCACCGCACACACCGCACACGCTTACCGCACTCACCGCACACGCTTACCGCACTCACCGCACACGCTCGACCGCACTCACCGCGCACACACGACCAACGGCGCAGTGAACATGGGCTGTTCATTGAGAACATACTGGACCCGTCCCACCTGCCCTTCACCCACGACGGCACGCTGAGCAAGCGCGCCAAGGCCGACGAGATGAAGGTCGAGATGCTCTTCGACAACGTGTTCGGCCAGGCCCCCGCGCCTCGCAGCTCAGCCGACGATCACCAGACCGACGCCCACTCCCACTTCACCCTCGTACGCTGCGTGCGGTGTGTGCCGTGTGCCGTGTGTGTGGTGTGTGTCGTGTGTTGTGTGTGCGGTGTGTGCAGTGAGTGTTGTTGACGTGTGGGGTGCAGGGGTTGCCGGAGGGTTTCTATGGGATGCAGGCGCAGGCGGTGTGGCCCGCGGACGCGTCGCGGCCGGCGCAGCGGTTCACGTTCCAGACGCCGTGCGTGGTGCGGCTCGACCTGCAGACGTCGACGACCAAGAAGCGGCCCGACGGCTCCTATCCGACCATGATCCAGCTCCACTTCTGCGTGCCCGTCAGCCCCACCCGGTTCCGCGTCAACACCATCTTCTTGTACGCACACCACCGCACACGAGCACACGCACACGCGCACGCGACACTCGCACTAACGACACTCACCACCGCACACACCGCACACACATGACCGCACATGATGGCACACAGTCGCAACTTTGCGACGAAGTTTACGGCGTCGGGCGGGTTTCCGCTGGGGAGTCACCTGAACCGGTGGTACGCGGACAAGATCATGGACCAGGACGTGGAGCTGCTCACGGGCCAGATGGTCAACCTCCTCAACGCGGCCAAGCCCTGGAACACGGTCGTGCGGGCCGACAAGATCGCCGCGCGCTACCGCCGGTGGCGCGACCAGGCCGAGCTCACCAACCCCTGGTAACCCACCCATCCCCTCCGCCTGCCCGCCCACAATGTTACGACACGACACGACACGACACGACACGCAGGTTTTGCGGGTTTCACCAATCGGCCGTGCCGGACATTGAGGATCTCATCGCCGCTGGCGCCGAGAAGGCGGAGACGGACAGTGTCGAGTCGGGCTCAGGGGGGTCGAGGGCCGCGCTGGTGGCCGGGCGAAGAAGGAAGGTGGAGCACGCGACGCCGCCCATAGTCACCGGACCCTACCCGCGCTCCGGCGCAGAAAGAGGTGGCGCACGCCCTGCTTTGGTGTGGGGGGGGGGGCTCGTGTACAAACAATATTTGACTCGAACTGGGCTCACACATGTGCGTGTGCGGTCGTGTGTGTGCGTGTGTGCGTGTGTGCTGGTGCCAGACCTATCGACGCTCTTGATGCAATCCGGGGGTGTGCGCTTCAAACCGCGGACGCGCATTGCGCTGGTGCCGCGCGGGGTGAGGCTCGCGGCCGCCGCCTTGCTAGCCCTTCTCGCCCTGCTTCTCCTGGCGTGGAGCTCAGGCGATCAGCCCCGTAATAGATTGGCCCTTGTTTGGTAGTGCTGATGGTTCGCTGCTGTCTTGGGTTCACATGTGGTGTGCAGCATTGCTTTGTGTGCAACAAAGTGCTGCGTTTGATGAGATCTCAATCAACACACGGTTTGGTTCATTCACTCTTTCACCCTTGCGCCCGCCCCGTTGAGGTGCTGAGAGCGACCCTCTCACTCACTCACTCAACGCATGCATGCATGCCTGCCAATGTCTTCCCTCAATGTAAGGTACAATGTCCGGTGAGCACCAGCGCCGAGTGGTTTGCTGTCGAGCTTGACTCTTCTTCCTTTCTTCGGCTCCATCGAAAGAAAGGGGGAGGTACCAGCCAGGCTGCCGGGCATAGCCACCGCCACCACCACCAACCTGAGGGTGCCTACATGTAGGCAGCGGTGCTGCAGCTGCTTCGTCATGTCGCTTTCTTTCTTCCACTTTCTCCGGACCTCACCACCGCGTGGCCAAAGCTCAGTTACTTTTTCGCTTTTCGTTCTTTCCGCGCTTCATTTTCGAGTTGGGCAGGTCACGCGAACGTGCGCTCAGCTGCTCGTGGGCCTCTTGTCTCTGGCGGCCGCGGCGGCTGCTCGGAGCTTGGCGTCGCGCGCGGCGTCGTGGGTGGTGCCCATGGGCGTGGCGGGCACGGCGGCGGCGGCCGAGGCCGAGGTCGAGGCGGGGAGGGAGAGCGACGGATAGAACCCGCTGAAGTCGAGCCGCTCGAGCAGGAACCGGAGGTGGAGGAGGGACACCGACGACGCGGCGTTGCCGTTCGTGATCTGCGTGACCAGCACGCGCAGCTCCGACACGGCCTGCTTGTACTCGGCACCTGCGAGCAACAACACGCAACACAACCACATAACAACACGTGTCAGGAAAGAATGAAGAGAACAAGAACGAAGGAGTGTCGCAGAGGGTAGCGGCAGCGTACCGGTGCTGTGGATCTTGCTCTGTTTCTTCTTGGCGGCGTCGGTGTCGAGCTCGAGCCCGCTGCCGAGCATGGATCGCTGCATGGCCACCCAGTGCGCGATGATGCCAAAGATCCTGGTCATGAGGGCCAGGGTGGACTTTGACTGGTCGTTGGTGGGCGAAAGCAGACACCGCTCCACGATCTGCGTGAGGAACTCCGAGTGCGACTTGATGAAGTCCTCGATACCTTCCAAGGGGGGGGGGAACACGACCGTCGTAACAGAACGTCTCAGCACCAGATAACCATGAAATGAAGTGAAGAGAAGAAGAACGAAGAGCGAAGAAGAACGAAGACGTACTGGATGACTCGTTGACGATCGTGTTTTGGAATCGCTGCCACGCGGGTTCGATCACCTCCATCTACAGTTAAAAGATGAAGATTGTGAGCACCACCACTGCGGCTGGCACAGCTGAGGAATGTACGGAAGGCTTGGGGTACCATGAAGAAGCCCTGCACGTTGGACAGGAAGAAGAGCATCTCCTGCGAGAGGATGCGGCATCGGTGGAGCAGCCCCTCAGTCTCCTTATCATCGGCGTAGTAGTCTTCCATTTCTTCGTCGTCTGATCATGATCGCACACGAGTGGTGAGGCGCGATGGAGGGCACAACCCCCAGAAAACGCAGAAGCCGCGCACCTTCATCCTTCTCTTTGGCCGGCGCGGGGGATGACTTGCGCAGTGACTCAAGCGAGAACTGACGGTTTTGGTTCTGCCGACGCGAATAGCCGATGTGCCTCTTCCACATGGAGGCCAGCGAGTGGTGCAGGTGCTGAATCCGCCACAAGAAGTTGAACAGCATGCGGTAGGTGCTCATTGCCTCGGGCGTGAAGATAAGCGAGATCGGCATGTCGACGTGATAGTCGAGCGAGAACACCGCCCAGCCACTGCCTGCGTCAACACCTTCCATCTGTCCTCGAGAGTGGGCGCGACCTGGATTACTACGACATCGGGGCGATCTACGAAAATGACAACACAACACAGAAGGGGGAGGGGAGACACCATACCACGCCCTGCTCGAGCAAACGGACATCCAATCGATCGATGATTTGCGGGTCGTCAAACTGTGCGTTGGAACTTCGGACGGCTCGGTCCAGAGTACCTGGAATGGGCGAATCGATTAGTCGTTCGCACCTTGCTTCGTTGATCTAGCTTTGTATGTATTACCGAGAAGGTTGTGGCGGAAGATGGTGCTAGAGGGCTTCTTGAGGTCAGAGCTGCGTAGAAGGAGCAGAAGGAATCGGTCAGGCAGTTAATTGGAGGCCACCCCATGAAGAAAAGAGGAGCTATACCTGATGGAGGTCATGAGGTAGGTTACAAAATCGCCCTGGCCCAGAAGCAAGTATCGCTTGATGGCCAGGCAGTGCTGCAGGAACTTGTGCTTGTCCATAAACACCTGCATCACTCGCCTGTTGACTACGGTCTCCACCTTGGATACGGCCCTGTTGTTTGAATTGGTGGTGTTGGATCAAGCCGGCTCTTCGTTGTCTGCCAGGGTAGCCTTTCGATGAATGGGTACGTTACCTTTCAAGAGACGAGAAGAACTCGACCAACTCCACGTCAGATCGAAGCTCCCCGATGTCACCCCGCAGAATCTGATTCAGCGAGTCCCGCTCGATGCCCCAGAAATCGGTCACGTTGTCGCTGCACTCTCTCATGAGGTTGTGGGACTTGCCGATCAGTAGAATCTGGCAAGGAGAGAAAGGAAGGGGAAAAAGGCGGCCAGTGTCAGTATAAAAAAAGCCTTATCTTATGCACCTGTGCCGCCGCTCGGAATGCACCTTGTTGGCCAGAGACGGAGGAATAAAGGAAGGCAGCGCCTCTGGCCGCAGCTGGTACTTTGCATGCCAGAGCTGGTGGGCGGGCACGTCCGGGTCGGTAGCGACGAAGAACTCTTGATACGGATCATTAAGCGTGCCCTGATCGCCGTTCGTGATACATATATCATAAGCGAGTGAACAGAGGCGCAAGCGTGTTGGCCAGTGTGTACCTCCAGCATCCAGGCTCGGATCATGGCGATTATGGGCTTGGCGGTCTGGTTGAGCACGCTCAGCGCGACCGAACGCCAGATTTTGCTGCCGTGATAAACCAGCTTGTAAACGGCCGAAGCCATTTCCCCTCCGTGCTTCCCTTTGATGTTATCCTGCACGACACAAATAAACACCCACGGTGAGCACCCACATAACACTAGGATCGGTATCGGGGTGAGTCGGATAATACATACCACGAGGATGTTGAGGATCTGCAGCTTTTCCAAGGGACCCTTGACCCAGGCCAACAGGCGGTGTAGAGTGAGATCGCTGCCCTCGCCGATTTGGTTTTCGAGAGCCGCCAGCGAGCGGTAGTAGTCCGTAAGCTCAATCTTGACCGCCGAATAGAATCCCTGAGAGTGACGGTGGCCTCGAGCATCAGCCTCGCCGCCGTCTTGCCAAACAAACGCACGCTCAATCTCAAGGCGAGAAAGAGTACCTGGGCCACAATACCGGGTTGGGCCGTGGAGGCATCTATCGTTTCGCGCAGACGTTTGCACAGCCACCCGATCTCGCACACGCAACCGACGAGCTGTCGGATCGAGGTGGACACGTTCACCTTTGATGTACGGAAGAAGCGTCAGATGAACCTAAAGCAGACACCGACACAACAAGCGGCGATAAGTACCTCTGGCGGGATGGCGAATCGGTCCAACTCGTCGTTGTATCTGATTACTGAGCCCTCGATGCCCTGTAGCACGTACAGCGTGTCTTCGAGAATGGCGCCCAGTGCCACCTCCTCCTGATGGTCGGTCAGCAGCGGTCGTCGATGCGGGCGTACGGCAGGCGACTCTTGCGGGGTAGAGAAATTGGGAGATGCGGCAGCGGCCGAGGAGCCGACCGAAGAAGCCTGGCCGGGTGTAGTGTAGCCCGGCGTGGGGTGGATGGGCGAGATCGACGAGATGAGCGAGGCCGGGTACTTGTGTTTCTGATGCGCGGCGGGCGTCTTGAACTTTGAAGAAGAGATCGAGGAGGCTGGGGTCGGCCTCGCGTGAGCCTCTTCCTGGAGTCGAGAAGAGCTTCGCACAGCCACAGGCGTCTTGTCTGGCAGGGCTTGAGCCTGGCGTTCACATGTGCGAAGTGAGCAAAGGCTGTGCAGAAGGCGCAAAGAGCCGAGGGGAGGAACGGGCGGGGTACAGAGAAAAGGGTCTTGGGCATTGTGGAGGTGGGTGCGTCTTTGTTGATGCCTCCCTTGAGTTGATCTAGCAGGTAGAGTATGGCCCAGTTGCTGCTCAGTGAAGACGAGGTTCCAAGCTTGTTGAGGTACTGGTCCAGCAAGGCAGCCTCGCCGAAACCCTTCTCCCGGCTCACTACGGACATGGGTTTGAATTGAGCAGGCCTTATCGAATAAATTGAAGGATTATTGGGTTTACCTGTCTTGCGTATGCGAGCGATGACCTGGGACTCGTCTCTATCCAGCGACTGCTTGGCATTCGTGCTGATGAGGTGCATTAACAATCCGAAATACTTCTCGTATTGCGCTCTGTTCTGGGGCGAGACAAATTTCGCGACCAGCAGGTGCACGCATCTCACCAACTCCTCGTTTTCCATCCTCTTGGCAAGCGCCGCCTCGTCCGTCTGCACTGTGCCCAATTAATCTCCTTTGTACTCGATTTCTCTTCGCCTCTTTGTGTTTCCCGCCAAAATAATTGTCCCCAACCAAAGGGGAAGAACAAAAAAAAACAAAGCTCGAGATGCAAGCATGCACCAGCCAACAGGCTCTGTGAGCTAGTGCAACGACTCCTAGAGTACCGCCAGAGACTAGCCGAGGTGAAGAAGCGACTCACTCCCGCCCTACAAGAGCACCAGGCAAACTTGGGGAAGTGGGCAGTCGTTTTCCAGGGGCGAGAGGACGACATCAAGCTCGAGAGCAGCTACGATGCCGCTGCAATCGTGCTCTCAACGAACAGGAGAACGGAAAGGACTACTACGTGTTCCACGTGATCACACACAGCGAAGATGAGGACTGGGGTGAGGAAGAGGGTGTTGAGATAAACAAAGGAATAGAAACAGGTAACGAACGTCTGGGATGTCACAGACGGGCCATAGCATGTGGATTGAGGAGATCGCCCCACAGAGACTGGCCACCATCAATACGGTATCTGTCATTGCATCGGTGTGGGTTGTAAGAAGGGGAAGGTGGCGATAGCGACAGTGGGCAATACACGTTGGGGGAGCGTACACTTGGCCGGTGATGTAGGAAGCCATGGGGGAGGCAAGGAAGGTGGCCAGATAGGCCACCTCCACCGCTTTTCCATGTCTCTTGAGGGGGATCTTTTCGATGGCTCCTTCCACGACCTCCTTGGCATAGCGATGCGTTCCTGAGTCTCCGATCACGCCGGGAGCAACAGCATTCACCTGGACACGACGACGCAGGCATCAGCACACAGAGGTTCAACTCAGAGGCCGCGATTTTGAGCTTTACATACATTTATGTTGTAGGGACTCCATTCGACCGACAGCGTCATCGTCATGTTCTGCACTGGTTCATCAGTACGCAATGCTGCCGCACAGATAGCAGTACGTACCTCGACGCCAGCTCGAGCTGCACCGGTGTGGACCATGCCAGGGAATCCTCGAGCCACCTGAGCCGTAATACTCACAATACGCCCTGTCTCGCCCGTAATTAAGATGCCAGCTCACGAAGAGAAGAAGAAGAGTTAGAAGGAACCTTTCTTCTGAGGAATCATGCAAGTGGTAGCCACCGCGTGCGTCATGTGCCTGCGTAAGAGCTTGCTCCATGAGCCAGTCGCCAGGCGCACACTACTAAGAAGAGTCAAAGAGTACCAAGTCCCAATGAGGTTATTGCGGATGACCGCTGCAAATCTGCACACATGTGGCAAAGGATCGATGGTTGGTGATGGTTAGCGTTGCGACTCCTCTATTGGCAAGTCCTGGACAGGGTACCCATTGGGCGTGATCGCCTCTGCAGCCATTGGGAATTGTCTGGTTTGAACAACATCAACAACAAGGATGTGTGAGAGAAGGAGCAATCCACGCATTGAAGCTCTACGCAGTGCCTATGTACCCGCCAGCGTTGTTGATCAGGATGGTGACGTCGCCCAGTTGCTTTTGGACGTCGAGCACGAAGGACTTGACCTGGTCGTAGTCGCGTATGTCGCAGCACCCAACGTGCACGCCCGCCGCACCCTGCGCCTGCAGCTCCTTGGCCGTGTCATCTAGCGGCTCCCGGCGCCTGCCACATATCGCCACCTGCCTCAACAGACGTTAGAGCCACCCACCGTTGGCTGATTTGATTTATCGATTTATCGATTTATTGAAGTGATTTTATTTATTTATTTCTGGTTTATTTTATTTCTGGTTTGAGGGGACCTTGGCTCCAAGCCCCGCGAGCTGGAGAGCGATCTGCCGCCCTATGCCGGTGCCCCCGCCGGTGACGATGGCCACCTCCCCCTTGAGCAGCCCCTCGGCAAACACCACTCGCGGCAATGCCTCCATTTCCTCCACACGTGCGCATAAAGCGAAGCCCCTGGCTGGTCAAAAAAAAAGAAAGCTAAATAAATATATCTTACGCCCAGCCAAGCGTCACGGTACTCGAACGCGCACACCGGTTGAGCTGGAGAGCTGCGGTCGAGCTGGATACGCCCGAAGGTGCGCCAAGAAGCTGCCACACCGCTACCGCGGAGGCGGTGTTGATTGGGGTAATCACGGCGGGGCGGAGCTACCAGGCCTTGAAAGCGGACAATAACCAAAAGAAGCAACCGGACAAGACTGAAGGCACTCACGCGGGCCGCCAACCAACTTCATCTTTGGTTTTCTCTCCTCTTTGTCCACCCGTTCCTCCCCTTGTGGTACTACTCCTTCGTTCCTTCTCCGTGCAACCCTAGGACCTTAGCGACAAACAATAAGAACCAGACGAAAGAACCAGCAGAAGATCTGAAGGATTCTGCATCGCATCCCTCGATTGAAGCAGTGTTCGGAGAAGTAATGGAGGGGGACACCCTTCTCGATTCGGATTCGGGCAGCTTCGATTCGTTGACATTTCTTCCCGCTGGCTCCAATCTCGAGGAACGGCCCTCCAAAAAGCGCTCATTCGACAACCTCAGCAACACATCCACAACCCTGCCCTCCACATCATCACTTCAGCGAGCGAGCGCCCAGAAAGATAAGAAGAAACGAAAGGTATCCTTCATGATCAGCGACGACGATGAGGGAAAGAAAGAAGTGGCAGGAAAGCCAAATCATGACGAGGGGGACATAAAGTTGAGTAAGGAGGAAATTGAGGAGATGAAGCGGAAGACGGAGCATTGGTGGAGCCTGCCGGACGGCACGACGCAGGAGGAATTCGATCACGCCTTCGACCACTTCAAGGACGGCAGATACTTCCAGACGCACATGGAAATCGAATGGATGGATGTACAAATTCAACGGGCATGTGGCCGATTGCTCTCACAGGACCAATTCAGGTGTGCTTCTCTTCCCTTTCATCTTCGTGTCCTTCCCCTGTGGCTTTTCGTGCACAGCTCGCCTCCCTCGCTCGCGTCCCTTCCCTTCTCATCTTCCCGTCCCTTGTGCAGCGACCCCGTACAACAGCTGTGCGCAGCGATCCATGCAGCGATGACGCACAACGATGCCGAACGTGTGGCGAAGCTTGTCCAAGAGGACCCTGAGCTCACCCAGTGCGTCATTCGACCCTCCTGTGTGTGTTGATTGAATCACAGGCCTTCACACTAAACGGAGGGCTTTGCTACTGCTGCATCACCTACAACCTGCAGGCTGATGGAGCAGTATAAGGCGTCTCATGTCGACATGCTTGTGGAGAGACAGAGGCTCACTGACAAGTTCGGCATGATCCACTCGGCCAAGATCGCCATCAAGTCCGAGTATATGCTCTCTCCCTCTTCCTCTTCCCATTCAACCTTTCTTCTCGCAGCCCATCGCTCACCTCGGGCACCATTCACCGCCCAATGCACACAGGGTGTACGTGTGCTCGGCCACCCGTTTGAAGCAGGCCGGCAAGGAGGTGACGGATGAGGCGGTGGAGGAGGAGCTTGCCGCCTTCGAGCGCGGCGTGAACACCGTTCCGGGCAGTCAGCCGCAGGGAGGGTGCATCATGGCACAGGGCTACCGAGGGCCACCGATGGACGTCTCGGGGATGGGCACCTGCCCAGTGCGACACGATGGCCAACAACAACAATCACTACCACAGTCGCCACAAACAGGTACCACTGACAACCGTTTACCGCTCCACGCGCTCTCATATGCAATGACCTCTCACCTTTCACTCATGCTTGTGCGTGGCTCACACACACAGCGGCGGCTCATCCACCACCTGCGGGCGTGTGCCCTTTCACGGGACGAAGGGCGCCCACAAGCGGAGGTGAGCCGAGCCAGAAGCAGCAGCAGACCCGCGTCGAGGAGAGCATGAGTGCGCTGCCCGCGCCGAGTGGAGCGCGTGGTACCACGAGCGTGTGCCCCTACACCGGACACAAGGCGCCGACATGCGGCGACGAGGGTGTCCAGCCGCCCGAGGAAGACGACGGCGTCGGTGAATGATCGTGCATCGCGTGGTGTACCATCGCCACGTGCCAATACACATATGTACAGTCAATCACATGACCATCGTCGCCATCAACCCCCACAGCACAGCCAGTGTTGGCAACGGCCGCTGACAGGCACGCGTGGCTAATTGTTGAACAAAAAGAGCGAGGGAAGAAGATGGGCCGCAGCACCAAGAAGATGGAGTCGTTGGTGGAGCTGAGTGGGAGGGCGGTGGCGCGCAGCGTGGCAAAGATGAAGGAGGAAGAGCTGTCTGCTTATCTGGCCCTCATGCCGAAGGACTTGTGGGGCACCATCCTGTGGCAGCTTTCGAAATGCAACCTCCTCGACCGGGGACGATTCGTGAAGCATCTTCTTCCGCAGTGCGCGCCCTACATAGACGCTCTTCAATTCACCGCTTCCAATGCTCGCGAGTGGTTGTACGACACCGACGTCAATCTGGTCGTGAGGCAGTGCCCCAACCTCACGCAGCTCGATCTCTCGCGCTGCCGCCACCTCATGACGCCCCGCATCCATCACCCACAGCTCAAGCGGCTGGCACTGCTCGAGGCAGGCAGGAAGGAGTTCAATCCTTCGATTGATTGCCCGCAGCTGCGTGCCTTCGCTCTCCAGCTGCAGAACATCCGAGTGTTCAAGAAGCAGATGGCGCTGCTCGCGACCCGCTCGCCTCTGTTGGAGGAGCTGCATCTCGTGGGGCCGATCGATCTCAAGGTGCTGACGATAGCGTTCCCCAATCTGCAAACCCTGCACCTCATCGGGTGCATCAGCCTGCGCATGTCGTCCATTCTACCCGTCGTCGCGTCCCACCCGCGCCTGACCCGAGTGATCTTGGACGAATTCCTGCGACCCGAGCTGCCGGAGACCCTCCTCGACCGAGGCGAGGATGACACCACGCAGGCCCGCGAGGGCGAGGATGAGGAGGACGTGGAAGAGGAACAACGTGGCGCCCCAAGCGAGGAAGAGAAGCAAGTACGGGAGATCTTGCATCGGGGTGTAATCTTTGGCTTCGCCACGTTGTGAGACTCGCCTTCTTCTGTGCGCACCTTTTTGCCTTGTGACGGAGAAGAAGCACGTTTTTCGTCGACTCCGGTCATGGTCGCGCGGTTGGCGGATAGTACGTAGAGACGGTCGCGTGGATGCACACGACTGAGGCGAAAGGAGAGAAGGAGCCTTGCGGAAGGAGTTCCTCGCAGCCTCTGTCGATCGATAGGATAAACTGCACACACAGGTAGCATAGCGTCTTGGGCACAACATTTGAAAGCGACCACACCGCAGGAGAAGAACGTGGTGCAGCGTAGGGCGTGGATGGAAAAGAGGAGATCCCAGCATGGCGCGGAAGATGAAGAGATCGAAGTGGAGGGCAATCCATTCGAGGCCCTGCATTTCCCTCCAGCCAGAAAGTTTGGCAGCGGCATTTATCGGGTGGATGGATCGGTGACAAGGAAAGGGGAGGAGAAGCCAAACCTCTACGACTCGGCACGGCTCGAAGAAGCGAGAGCAGGACGGCTTGAGGCGACAAAAGAGGATGTGGTCGGCAAGCTCCTCTTCAACTTCAGAGATCTGAAGGATGCCACCAACACTGGCCGCAGCCGCCTGCGCATCAAGCCTGGCAGGGTGTATCGCACAGCCTGCATCGCGCGCGGAGACGTCGACATCGACCAAATCGCCAAGATTATCGCTTACATCAAGGACGAGGTGGGAATTCGAACCATCATCGACTTCAGGAACAAGGATGAGAAGCAAGCCGATCCGTTCGATCGAGTGCTCGAGGACTTCTACCCCACCACGAAGGCAACAACACCCAACATCGAAGGACACCCACGACGGTTTCACATCCCGCTCATGAATCTCGACTTCAAGCTGCGTGGCCTCTTCAACTTGGGCACCAACAAGCTGACCAAGCTGTATGCCCACCCCACTTTCTCTTAAAGCGCACAGAGCAACCTCACACGTGACCTTTGCTCATCTGCATGGGATACAGAAAGCTGATAGGAGCCGCGCTGCCTGTGGGCCACGGCGTGACACCGACGGAGGTGATGTCGAAGAACGCGATGAACGTGATGGGGCTGCTTGGTCTAAACCAGCTCATGCTGGTCTACTGCGGTGCTTATCTCGTCCACACAAGCCCCCCTTTATGCTGCACCGCGCCAACACTTGCCGGCCGCTAATGGTGAGGTTCTGTACAGGGAAGGAGATAGCGCAAGTGCTGCGCTTGTGCACGGATCCCACGAACTACCCCATCATGTACCACTGCTCTTCCGGCAAAGACAGGACAGGTGAGTCTCATCCCTCCAGTGCGGCCATAGATCTGAATCGGTGATATTGATCCTCTTCCCGTCTCCTTCCGCAGGATTGATCACGGCTCTTATTTTGCGGTGCTGCGAAGCGGACACGAAGGACATCATAGCCAACTATCACGAATCTGAGATTGCACTGGACCCGGTCATGCCTCGGATCGGTATGCATCATCATCATCATCATCATCACAGACCTCTTAGTGCACCCTTTCTCACCCGGGTCGTGGTGGCTGCCTCTTGCCAATGTTCAGTGGAGGAGAACCGCGAGAAGGGTCTCGATGCAGGGTTCGATGGCACGCCGCCGCAGGTGATGCACGAGACGCTCAAGTTCATCAAGGCGCACTGGGGCTACACGTCTCACTACCTCGACTCGGTCGGCTTCCCGCTCGAGTGGCAACATCAACTGCGGGACAACTTGACGAAGGGTCGCACGGATAGCGACGGGTCGGCCAAGGGCTACTCGAGAGAGGATTACGAGTGCGAACAGGCGGCGGCGTTTCAGAAGTTCCTGTGGGACAGCCTGGACGACTCGACACCGGCCGATGACGGGACTAGCATCGCGCGAGGCGTGAAAGCGAAGCGGCTGGCGCCCGCCATCGCCAAAGCGAAGACCAAGGCCATAGAGAAGAAAGAGAAGAAGGCCAAAAAGCAACTCAAGGAGTGGAAAAAGCAGATGAAGGAGTCGGGCGGCAAGCGAAAGATGGCCAAGATGGCCAGCGACAGCGCGCTGAGCGAGAAGAAGCAGGGCCGTCGGATCTCGCAGTCCCAAGACTCGAAGCTGACGCGGAAGGAGAAGAAAAAGGAGAAGAAGAAAATGAAGAAGGCCGAGAAGGAGTGGAAGAAGGGAAGCCTTGGGCGGAAGGCGTCGTCCGCCTCTTCGCCGCTGCTTTCGTCCTCCTCTTCGTCGAGCTTCGACTCCGCCAGCGAGAGCGAGCACAGCCCATCCAGCTCCAGCTCGTCAGCTGACGACTCAAGCTCGAGCAGCGACTCTGACTCTGACGACGTGCCCACGCCCGCCCGAGGGGCCGGACCCGACGACGAGGAGGAGCCCAGCCCGCCGCCGTCGCCCTGGGCGCGCCGACGGAGAGGTGTGACCAACGACAAGAGCCCACGATCGCCGCCGGCCCTGCGCAAACGAGCCGACGTACATCCCCAGGCGGCGCCCGCGGCCAACAGCTCTGGACCTTCATCATCGTCTTCGTCGGCGCCGAAGCTGACCTCGCCGCGCCTGCAGATCTCTGCGCCGACCATCGGCTGTGGGCGGGTGTCGCCGAGGGCTGCCGCCGACTTTGCAACGACGCCTGTGCCGGCCCTCATCCCACGACCAGCACCGGCGGCGGTCGAGAGCGATGGCACGAGGCTGTCGCCAAGGCCGTCGCCGCGCTCCCGTTCGCCTTCGCTTTCGCCTTCGTCACTGCGTCGAGGGCTGGCCGCCGCCACCGAGAGCGAGGAGGGCGTTGGCGGCACCAACGACGTGCGCGTCACGCAACGAGCCAACCCAGCTGCTTGCCTCGTGCAGTGAGCAGAGATATTTGTGGATTATTTATTTGTCAAATAAAAAAGATAAATAATTAATAATTGATTCATTTTTCTTTACATCACACACAACAAGAAAGATGGAGGCAATTGTAGAGGACGCGCTGCCCTACTTGCGCAGGGAGAAGGGCATCCACCCGCAGACGAGGGACAACACGCACCTCTATGGCTACGCGATGCTCTCTGGCTCGTTCCTGTTCTTCACGACGACCATGTACTGGGTGCTGGTGTCGAAATTCATGCCTGACACGGGCAACCCGCTGCTCGACTGGATCAAGCACGACAATTACTACTGCCTCGTGGTCTTGTCGTGCATCCCAGTCAGCTTCGTCATCGTCTACTTCAACTGGCTGGCGTTCAAATTCTTTCGACACAACTCGTAAGTGTACATCTGCGCGCAAGCAAGCGGTGGCGATCGCGGATTCGTGATGGCAGCGAGGCTTCTTCCACGGCCTAGGCATCGTCGGCGGCCACGGCCAGCAGCACGAGATGGGCGCGCTGCAGGAGGTTCTCGATTCGCTGGGGATTCGATTCATCCTTGTGCTTGCGGAATTCGGATCGGATTCTGCTCACGGCCCATGTGCACGCCACCTCATTCGATTGGTAGGACGCGCTTGACGCCTGAATCAACATCTTGTACAGCTGCTTCGCGTAGCTCGCGTACTGTGCTCGCATCGCCTGATTCATCTTTTTATTTTATGTTTACCTTTTTTTTTGTTCATCTTTACTTTTTTTATTATTTATTTTGCCCCGACACCAGCAGCCAACATTCGTCCATAGATCGATGCAGCAGTCCACAGCAGTGCCGCCTCCCCGTCCCAAGAACCCGCCCCCGATCGAGGGACCCTTCTCTCGCCAGGCCGCGAGCTCGAGCGAGTCGCGCTCCTCGTTTTCGTCGCCTTCGCTGTCGGCCGTGAGCCATCCATCTTCAGCACGTAATGATGGCGTCGGGGCGGAAGAAGAAAAGAAGGAGGGACCGCGCATGCGGGTGGCGCGGGCCTCCTACGGCGCGGGGACCGTGCTGGCCGACGTCACCGACACGCTGCAGCGCATGGCGGACGAGGCCGGCGGGCTCACCCTCGACGCCTTTGGCTACAAGGGTCTCAGGCCCAACGGCTGCATGAACGCCCTCTTTGGTACTTCCACCCTCCCTGCACCGCCTTCCTGTTCGACTTCTGCAAGGCGGCGATGACGTCAGCAGAGCCACCAAGTTTAGCTCCGAACTCACCACGCTGTGTCGTGTGCTGTGTGCCGTGTGCGGTGGGCCTCATCATCAGGTGATCCCGTGCCTGGCCGCGACAAGCAGCTTCTCTTCTCGTACGAGATCCTGGGGTGCCGTCTCCATCTCATCACCACGCCCGAAGACAAGAAGGTGCGCTCGCCCGAATAGATTGCCCCACACAGCAACAACTCACCACCCATCCACCCACCGCCAGTTGAAGTTGACGATGGAGCACATGTATCGGAAGGTGATGGGCGGCTCCCCGCCTGACGAGGCCAAGCTCGTCGCCGTCGAGATTCTCAAGGCCACCTACGGCCGCGGCAACAACGTGCACGATGTCACCTTGATCCTTCGGGACATGCTCGCCGAACAAGGTGTGTCTTGTGGCTTGTGTGTGTCGTGTGTGTCTTGTGTGTGTGTGTGTGTGTGTGTGTGTGTGTGTGTGTGTGTGTGTGTGTGTGTGTGTGTCGTGTTATGTGTGGAGTACTCACGAGTGGCAATGGTGCAGGAGGGCGTGGGCTGGTCGCGTTCGGGTACAAGGTGAAGCCCAATGGGTGCATGAACAAGGCCTTTGGCGATCCGTGCCCGGGCGAGGACAAGACCCTGGCCATCGAGTACCGGTGGCGGACCTCCCTGCTGGCCCACGCCGTCGACGAGGACAAGAAGCTCTCCCTCTCCTTCGAGAAGATGCGACCACTTCTCTGATCTGCGCTGATCAAGGCCACCAACCAAAAAAACGAAAAAAAGAGAAATGAAAATAAAATAAAATAGGGATATTGAGAGGATCATAACATGTTGCTCATACTCCCAGGAAGGTCCGCTTTTCAACTAATTCCGAAATATGCATTGCCTAAAAAGGGTGTGCCTCGAGACCCATTTTGCTGGAATCAATAGGCCAATCGCCGAATGGCATGATTGGAATGTCGACAATCAGGGCTTCTACGGAACTCAGGGATCTTCTAGATGAGGGACTTCTCCTTCATGAGTCCTCGGGCAGCACAACCGTGACCTGGTCGCCGCCCAACCGCAGCCAACCGGTAGTCGTCAAACTCCTGGTCCGTTCTCCCAAGTGGTCGCCAACTGGGCCAAATGGTCGTTGCCCAAGTGCGACGCCCCTCCGCGGGTTAACCAGACCTAGGAGTTAGCCCCCAACAACCAAGTACAAAAGGGCGCCCACCCGGCTTTGAACCTCACCAACAACAAACACAACACTCTCGACCTTCTTCTTCTACAACTCTTCGCTCAGCAGAAACTTCATCTTTACCACCTCAAGGATGAGCTTCCGCAACGTGTTTGTGTTGTCTGTTGTGTTCGTGGCCATCGCCTGCCTGGCGGCCTCGAGCTTCCCCACGGCCGCGGGCCAGTCGAGCAGCTGCTACGCGCCCACTGCGCTCAACTTCACCTCCGAGGCCGGCAAGCTCTGGGTCAACGGCCAGCGGTTCAAGCTCAAGGGCGTGTCGTGGTTCGGCTTCGAGACGGCGGCCTGCACCGTGCACGGGCTGTGGGCCAACTCCTACACCTTCTTCCTCGACTTCCTGGCCGCGCAGGGCTTCAACACCATCCGCCTGCCGTTCCACCTCGAGCTGGTCCTCAACGACAAGTCGCCCAACGGCATCAACTACGGCGCCGGCTCCAACGCCGACCTGCAGGGCCTCAACTCGCTCCAGGTCATGGACAAGATCGTCCAGGCCGCCGCCGCCCGCGGGCTGCTCATCATGTTCGACCTCCACTCCTTCGCGCCCGACCAGTTCATGGCCGACGGCATGTGGTACAACGCCGCCAACCCCGAGTCCAAGGTCATCTCGGGCTGGACCAAGCTGCTCCAGCGCTACAAGAACCAGTGGAACGTCATCGCGGCCGACCTCAAGAACGAGCCGCACACCTCGACCTGGGGCACCGGCAACTCGGCCACCGACTGGAACCTGGGCGCCGCGCGCCTGGCCAACGCCATCGCCAGCGGCGTGAGCGACCGCTTCCTCATGTTCGTCGAGGGCGTGGCCAACTCGCCGCCGTGCCGCGAGAACTGCTTCTGGGGCGAGAACCTGACCGGCGCCCGCACCAACCCCGTCGTGATCGCCAACCCGGCCAAGCTGGTCTACTCCCCGCACGTCTACGGCCCCAACGTGTTCGGCCAGTCCTACTTCTCGGCCGGCAACTTCCCCGCCAACATGCCCGCCATCTGGGAGGACCACTGGGGCTTCATCCCCGCCGCCACCGGCCGCGCCTTCGTCATCGGCGAGTGGGGCGGCCCCTTCAGCGGCAAGGACCAGGTGTGGATGGACGCCCTCGTGGCCTACCTCAAGTCCAAGGACTCGACCGACCAGTTCTTCTGGTGCCTCAACCCCAACTCGGGCGACACCGGCGGCCTCCTGCAGAACGACTGGGCCTCGCCCGAGACCGGCAAGCTCGCCCTGCTGGCCAACCTCGTCTCGGCCCCGACCAAGTTCTCGGTCAACGCCCAGGGCCAGGTCTGCCTCAACGGCGCCACCGGCCCCGCCCAGCCCTCGGCCTCGCCCGCCGCGCCCTCGCAGCCCTCCGCCTCGCCCGCCGCGCCCGCCCAGCCGTCGGCTTCGCCCGCCGCCCCCGCCCAGCCCTCGGCCTCGGCCTCGCCCGCCGCGCAGACCACCCACGCCCCGGTCGGTTCGGTCACTTTCCAGTCCGGCTCGAGCGCCTGGTGGATGGCGGTGTCGATCCCCGGCTCGACGTCGGCCAAGGTGGACTGCGGCAACGGCCAGGGCCTGGCGGACATGACCCCCGGCTGGGCCACCGGCCTCTGGACCTTCTCGCCCGCCAACGGCACCCCGTGCAAGTCGACCCTCCAGTTCGTCATCAACGGCGCCGCCGCCCAGTCCGTCACCGCTCCCTGGTAAGACGCGTGGAGGCGCGCTCTATGGCTCTCTGGGCTCCTTGCCTGAGTGGCAGCACAGTTGGCGACCGCAGGCAATCTCGACCCCTCGATTGATTCATTCGCCACATTGTCGCTCTGATGTGAAATGTGTACAAAATATGTAATTAATCTATCATAAAATACAAACAAATGTAAAACTATATATCTGAGCTGAGCTTACCATGTAACCTGAGCATTGTGCTCGAGCAATGTCGACAGATTAAGAGAGATTAAAAAAAAACAAAGAAAAATGAACCGATACGAAAAAGGCTTGTAAAATTCAGCTCGGCTGCGTAAAGTTGATGCACTGCGCGCAGGGGCGACAAGGTGGCGAGCAGGCTCAGCGGCAGCGGCTGAGGGAGGTGGCAGAGTGGACTTGCGAGGATGTGGCAAAGTGGCTGCAGCGCGTCGTGCTGCTGCCGCACCAGCAGCGCGATGCCAAGGAGCTGCAGACGGCCGTGAGCGAGCAGGCCATCGACGGGGCGGCCCTGCTTCTCCTCGAGCCCCACGATCTTGCCTCCCTCGGTCCGTCCCCTCATCTTATTATTAATTTTATTCTATTTATCATTATTATTATTAATTATAAATAGTAATTATAAATAATAATAAACTATCTGACGATTGGGGAAACAAAAGGGATCACGAAAGTGGGGCACAGGAAAAAGATCGAAGCGGCGTTGGCGGCGCTTCGCTGCTCGTTCGCTGCCGAGCTCGCCGTCGGCGACCACGCGGAAGCGAAGAGCCCGCCGGCCGCTACTGCAGACAGCGGAGCCGAGACAGCGACCACCCACGCTGACGATGACGCCAGCGGCGGGGCCGTGCGCGAGGTGCGCGACGCTGTGGCGGTTATGCTGCGGCGCAGCCCGTGGGTGGAGTGCCTGCTTAAGGAGACGGTCGTGCTGGCGGTGCTGCGCGGCTGTCTGCTCCCCGCCTCCACCGAGGCCGCCGCTGCCGTCGGGTTTCGCAACGACGAAGAGTTCCTGGAGTGGGTCGAGGCGCTGTTCCTGCTGCAGCGCCTGCGCGTGGACTGCCGCGAGGAGCTGCGCAAGGGACTCTTGGCCCACTCAAGCTTTACGATGAGGTGCGATGATCGTGTGTGTGTGTGTCGTGTGTGTCATGTGTGTCGTGTATCGTGTGTGTCGTGTGTGTCGTGTGTGTCGTCACTCAATCAGTGATTGTGTGCGCCCGCCCCAGAGCCCAACATGTGGACGCGATGCTGGACGACGTGCAAGCGCTGCACGAGCGTTTGGAGCGATTGTGCGAGGTACGGCTCAGCAAGTGCCCGCAGCCGCCCCGCCTGCTCCGCCTGGCCACGAAGCTGGGTACACTACACTACTCCCCGCATCCCTGCTGGTCCGCCTTCTTAAGAAGTCTGCCCCGCCCCATACCACTTTGCACCGAGCACAGAGCTGTCCGCGAAGGAGCTCAAGGCGCTCGAGTACATACTGCTGTGCAACATCGGGAAGGACTTCCCGCCGCCCACGGCCCTCAACTCCAACCTCGACAACCGCAACCTGGCCCACAAAGTGGGCGTCTACGCCCAGATGAACAACCGCGAGCTCCTCGTACGTGTGGTGGTGGTGGCGGCGGTGGCGGTGGTGGTGATGGCGGACTGATCGGCGCACAGGACTTCTTTCGTCCCACGAGGCTTCACATGAAGCAGGGCCTCTTCGAGGTGGACGACGAGTACTCGACGCAGTTCAACAGCCACTTCCTCGTGATGTCGCCCGAGGTGATGCGCGCCCTCTCCGGCTGCTCCCTCTCCACCGACGAGTTCTTCAAGATTGACAAGACCGGTACCCTTGCCCGTTCACTGCCTTCTTTCGAACTAGTCTCACATCTTAACCGTGTGCGTGTGCGTGTGCGTGTGCGTGTGCGTGTGCGTGTGCGTGTGCGTGTGTACTGTGCGTGTGTGTACTGTGTAGCGCTGGCCGAGGTTCTGATGGAGGAGCCAAACTTTTGCAAGGAAAAGGAGCCAACGTTGACCCCGAAGACGCAGGAGTCCGGCCGGCGGAAGAAGATGAAGAAAAAGAAGAAAGAAAAGAGCGGCGCCACGGCAGAAGAAGAAGAAGAGGCAGAAGGCGACCAGAAAGAATTCGACCTTGAGGCGCTGCTCAAGGAGGCGGGGATCGAGGGCGTCGACGGTGACGACGATGAAGGCGGCGACGGAGAAGATGAAAGCGAGGAGGGACTGGGTGGAGGCGAGGGAGGCGAAGGAAGCGATGAAGACCACCCCGCGGCGAGCGACGGTGAAGCTCCAGAGGGAGATGACGATTCAGGCGACACATTTAGCATCAAACCCTACACAACCGACCTCGAGTACGATGCAGCACACATACGACACACGATGCGACACACGCGACACACACGCACGCACACGCACGCACGCACGACACGCGCGCGCGGCACACGATGCGGGCACTGATGGTTCTGTGGATGCGCAGGTATTTAGAAGATCAATTCTCGCTCATCGAAACGCGGCTGCGGATGAAGAAGGTCGACTCGGAGGAGGACACGAGCTTCCGGGCCGACCAGCGCAAGCCTGAGTCCATCTTGCGCGAGCTCAGGTGCGTGTGTGCGGTGTGTGTGTGTGTGTGTGTGTGTGTGTGTGTGTGTGTGTGTGTGTGTTTTGCGAGCTGGACTGATTGAAATGATGAAACAGGGCCAAGGCGCGCAGTATTGAGGCGAAGATCGAGAAGCGGCTGGCCGTGACGCTCATGAACGCCGAGTGGCTGCCCAGGATCGAACAGCTGGTGCAGCTCCGGGGACTCGGTACTCGCTACTCTCCTCCGATCTCCACGCCAAGTGTAGTAAGGGCCGAGCGAGGCCCACTGCCGCACTAATCCTGGCCTGGTTTGGCGGTGTTCGCAGACACCTTCGAGAAGCAGGTCCTGCTGACGTTGATCGCGGGCATGATCTCGACCAACGTGCGCAAGGCCTCCTCTCGGCGCGATGATCCCATCTTCCGCCAGAGCTTCGACGTGGTGCGCTTGTCTCTGTCCACGCCATGTCTCGACACGACCCTGTCCTCTGTCGGCCGCAGTACTAGTGTTTACATTGTCGCCGCTCGCGCAGGGTACGTTGCTGGGGCTGTTCTGCGACGGCCTGGAGCAGCAGATCCAGTACCGCACCTACTTCTACAAGAGCTCGCGCATGATACGCGAGGTACTCTCTATTCTCATTCGCTGCAACCGGTTCACAGGACTCGCCACTCACTGTGTGTCGTGCGTGTCGTGCGTGTCATAAGGGAATCATTTCGCTTTCAGATCCGCCGTTCAGGAAGGGCTCCGACCTGCTCGACTCCAGCGTGGAGATCGACCGCCGTTTGCTGGACTACATCGTGGGGCTCGACACCGAGCTGTCCGAGCTCGTCGGTACATACTCACCACCACCCCCGAGCTCTTGATGCGCGGCATCCGCGGACTGACACACACAACACACGCGCCACACGCGCCACACGCGACACACGCGCCACACGCGCCACACGCGACACACACAGATGGGAGCGACCTCTTCTCGCCCAAGGTCAAGCTGGACCAGGTGGTCCTTCCCGCAGATCAAAAGAGGCTCATACTCGACACCATCAACAACTTTGAGGCATTCAAGGAATGCTGCAAGGCCAAGGGCCTGGAGGACAGGCTCACCTATGGCACCGGTACGTAGGCATCTGCACGCTCTGACGGCGCGCTCACGTGGTCCACTGCTCACTTTCACTCCTCGCAGGCGTGTGCATGCTGTTCTTCGGACCCAGCGGCACGGGCAAGACCATGGTACGAGCCCACATGCCCCGCGATGACCTTGAACTGCTCTAATGCCTCTTACGGTTGTATGGTGTGGGGTGTGGTGGGCGGTGGGCGGATGGAGTAGATGGCCAATGCGATTGCTAATCACCTGCAGAAGAAGCTGCTGGTGGTCAACTTCCCCTCGCTGGGGACCAAGAACATGAGCGAGCTCATGCGCCTCATTTTCCGCGAGGCCAAGCTCTACGACGCCATCATCTTCTTCGGTAAACGACACACACACACACACACACACGCCCACACACGCATGCACACAACACGGCCGCTCAACCAACAATCCACCCAGATGAGTGCGAGTCACTGTTCGAGAGCAGGAACCAGTCCAAGTCGGTGGACCTCACGTCCCTCCTGACCGAGATCGAGCACTACGACGGCCTCGTCGTCATGGTACCAACCACAGCTCTGCTCCTTCGCAGACACCCTCTAACCGTCATCGCATCGAACGCATTCTCGGAATTCCAGGCGACCAATCGGCCCTACGACTTGGACGAGGCCATGTACCGGTATGCCCCCACCACCACAAACTCACCATTCCACCAGCGCTGCATTCCTGCATTCCTGCGCTGCTGACCCCCTTCTTTTTTAAATCATGATCAGGCGAATCAACCTGGCGATCGAGTTCAAGCTGCCCGACTTCAACCTGCGCCGGGAGATCTGGCGGTCGCACTTGCCGCCGGACATCGCCGTGGCTGCGGACGTCGAGTGGACCAAGCTGGCGATGAACTTTGAACTCGCCGGCGGGTTCATCAAGAACGTAGGCCTCCGCTTCCTCCCTCCCACTCTTCGTTCTTCGTTCTTCGTTCTTTTCTTCTTTTTTTCGCTTTGAGCCGACGCGCAGCTAACGTGCGCGTTTGATCCAAACCCTGCAAGGCGATCCTCTCGGCGCTGACCTTCGCCATTGCACGGAACGGCGAGGACATCTGCATTCAGCAGCAGGACCTCGAAAAAGGAGGTAAACACATGTGCCCTGCACTCTTCTTGCTATTTTGGTTCACGCTTGGCCGTGAATTCTGCTGACGGCCATGATCACGGCCTACACACCACTACCAGCCAAACTCCAACTCCGCGGCCATTTGCAGATGGTCGACTTTGAACAGCGCGTTGTGCCCAAGAAGGTTCGCGTTGGCGGCTGTGTGGCTGTGTGTGTTGTGTGGCTGTGCCGTGTGTCGTAGAGTGTAATGGACGTGCAGTAACACTCGGACGGACTGGGCTTGTGGATGCAGGGTGTGGAGGACATGGTGCTCACCAAGCAGCAGCAAGGCTGCATCAGCGACATCATCTCCTTTGAAAAGGCTCGCAAGGTCCTTTTTGGCCATTGGGTACATCTCTCCCACCGCACGCCCGCACTACGACGAGAAATAGAGCTAATGGCGAGTGTGCAGGGCTTTGAGAGTCAGATGCAACAGGGCACCGTAGTGCTGTTCTCGGGCGACCACCCTGGGGCGGGCAAGCGCACCGCTGCCGAGGCACTGGGTCCGTTCTCATCGCCGTTCGCGGACTCGTCATAAGCGAGGCGCCCACACATCGCGCATCGCACGACACGCGCGCCGCACGCAATCATTCCAAGAAGGAAAAGATGGTGGTTCTCACGGCCCTCTCATTAGGCTACGAGATCGGTCGGGCGATCAAGTACGTGGGCGGAAGCATCAAGAACGTGGACGCCCTGTTCAAGGAGGCCAAGAAGATGGACGCCATCCTCGTGTTCGATCAGGCCTCCGTCCTGTTCTCCTCATCACTCCCCTCATCCCAAGTACGCACACGACGCACGACACACACGACACACACGACACACACGACACACACCATGGCGAAGTCACCATGGTTGAGGGCACGCATCGGGACTCACGGCCACCCAACACCGAACATACCAGCACACACTGAACGAGCGGAATGCGGTCCTCTACCAAATCAACAAATTCCCTGGTGTGGTGGTGCTCATCTGCGACAAGATCGAGGTACCGCCGCTTCCCGCCTGCCTTCTAGTTAAGGAACACACACGACACGCACGACACGCACGACACACACGACACACACACACGCTAACTCGTGGGCCATGTCGGCAGGACTTGGACTATTCGCTGTTTAGGCGCATCAACTTCGTGCTGGAGTTCGGGCTGCCCGAAGAAGAGACCCGCGAGCGCCTGTGGCGCCGACTCATTCCCGACCAGGTGCCGCTCGGTGACGACGTCGACTTGACCCTCCTCGCCCATCGGTTCCACTTCACCGGCGGCAACATCATGGTACCCATACCCGCCACCGACCACCACGCGTCCGTTCTTATTGTTTTCTTTCACCGCACACGGCCCCACCGCACACGTGTGCGCACACGGCGCACACATTTAATATTGCTGTGTTTTTTTTGTTTTCTTTCTTCGGCAGAACGCGATTGTGCGCGCGGCGGAGCGGGCGAGTCTGCGGCAGGGAGATGGGGAGGAACCGCGGCGCATCGGCATGGCCGACCTGCTCCTCGCCGCCGAGGAGGAGGCGCGCCACCTGGCCAAGGTCGCCCTCCCCTTCTACAAGACCCTCTACATGTAGCTCAGGGCCAGGTTGATGACTCTATCAGGCGCTGACATTCCACTGAATAGCAGTGATTGACCCATTGGCCCAGCCAAAGCCACAACTTTTCCTTTGCCACACACAGCAGGGAAGATACAGGGTATAAATAGTGGGGGACATGAGAAGGAAAGGCATCTTCTCGGCCTTCGTGGCTAAGATCAAGTGTAGTATCTGTTCTTATCAGCTTAATCTCTGGTAGTGAGGCCAATGTGCCTCACAACTCAAGATTAGACTTATTTCTTGTGGGCGCCCTGGCTCCACTTCCCCTTTGCAGCTGAGCTGTGGGGGTGGTCCAGGGAGCAGTGATCAGCTTCACATTGCACACCCTGTGGAGTTCTTCAAATGGTCCACCCTTCCACCAAACCAAAGGACAAAAAAAGGTCGTGTGCCAACCAAAGGTAGACACCGGAGTTTAGGGGGAGAGCACGGCGAAGGGGTCGGAAGGGTAGTTGTCCTTGCTGGCGGCACCGCTGCCGCCTCGCCTGCCCATGGGCTCGGCGCCCACGGTCATCACCTCGCGCACGCGGTAGCCATCGGAGCGATAGAGGATGGGGTCGAGTCGGCTCGGGCTCGATCGTGGCCTGCACACGTGTGCCGCGTGTTGTCAGCTGCACGCCCGCCCAAGCGTGTGAGTTAGTCCTTACGGGGAAGGTGACGCCGTTGGTGTGGCCCGGCTCGTGGGGACTCCACGCAGCGCGTTCCACGCCACACCCTGTCGTGGTAATCACCACAATTAGATGGAAGACCGGCTGTGCGTCAACGATAGAGCGAGGCGTACCTCTTCCTCTTTGGCCCCCGCAGGAAAGTTGAAGTCGCCGGTGATAATGCGCAGCGCCTCAGATGAGCACATTGACGAGTGTGAGGAGACGAGCGAGTGCCTGATGATGTCCGCCTAGCACATGATCTTTCTCATATTCCAGGATTAACCTGTTGTGTGTGTGTAAAAAACCAAAATTCAAATCAAGGTTTTCCGTTTGTCACAACCTTGGTTGTTTTCGGGAGTCAAACGAAGAGGAAAAAAAAAGCGCTGCAGTTTCAGTGTCAGACCCCCTAAAATGGGCTAAGTTGAGGTCGCTGCACACTCGTGCTTCTGCGGTCAAGCGAGATCCCAATACACCAAAGAATGCGAAAGAGAAGACAAAGGATCGTGGTGGCGGGCAGGGTCAGGGTGGGCAAGGCAATGCTTCTCACAGTCTCCCCCAACTGGTACAGGTTCTACAACAACCTCATCAGTGAGTCTTTCCACATGATGGTCAGGTCAGACAGAGTCATCAGCACACTTGACATCCTCAAGCCTGGTGGCGACAAGTACTTCAAGTACCTCTTCCCCCCTGCACCACACACCACTGGTTGCCTCACCTGTACTGCCTGCTGCCCCCCTCCAGCTCACCCTCATTGAATGACTACAGGTCACACAAGGGATGGAGCCCTAACACATACAAGGGCAAGGGCTTTCTCTGCATCCACTCTGTCACACAGCCTTCCATATTTGACTGGTTGGATCACAACAACAACACCATCCCACCAGAGGTCAAGGCTGGCCTGGCCAGCAGCACTCCCTCTGTTGTTGGTCACCATGGTGTGCTGAGGGAGCAGCAGGTGCACTACAACAAGGACATCATCCAAGCAGTTATCAACACCAGCTTCTACACACCCATACACAACCAGAAGGTCACCCAGGGCAGCAGCAAGACAAAGGAGGCCAACACATCACCACTCAAGACCCAAGGCTGCACTCTCAGTTAGTGGCACAGCACCACTCTCTGCATGCTCCTGTGGTGAGACAATCAAGGAGAGAGTTGAGATGAAAATTCCAGATCACTGACATTACAAGAAACCTGCAATAATGTGGTGGTGATGCCTTCTGGCAGACAAACTTGCCCAGCGCCAAGAAGGGTAAATGTGAGGAATGTCAAAAACTCAAGAAAAATGCCAGGAATCTACAGACTCAAGATTTGGCTGTCTGGCTCAATTTCTCTTTTTGTGACAAAAAAAATTCCAAATTAATGGAAGCGTGTTCCACATTCCTTTGATGTTTGGAATGCCGTGCAACTAGCACCCCTGGTTGTCAGGCTTCGCTCTCCACTGTCTCCGTCACCACAACGCGTTCGCTTCTTCTACAACCACCACTACTGGATTACAAGTTGAGGTAGATGGAGGCGCAGGGCCAAGACAAGGCTGCTGCCGGGCAGGTGGAGGGCCTGCGGCGAATTATGGGCGAGGTGGCCCAGCTCCCCAGCGAGGCCCTCCTCAACTTCTTCGCCGCCAACCCCGAGCTCCAGGCGCACCTGGCGGCATCGTCGCCCTCGAGCTTCACCACGATGGCGGCATCGACGACGACCACGAAGCAGCGGAGGGTGGTGCCCGAGTTCGGGCAGGTGCCGACGGAGATCTGGGAGCGCATCTTCCTCTTCATGGGCGTCGCGGGCGTGGCCAAGATGCGCACCCTCTCCACCACGTGCGCCCGCATCGGCTCCTCCATCCTCGAGCGAGGCGGCACCACCACCACGACGAAGGAGAAGAGCAACAACAACATCGATAGAGATGTTAAAGTGATAGATGAAGAAGTGCAGATGGAGAAAGGAGAGATGAGCGAGGAGAAGAAGAATGTCAAAGATGGTGTGAAGAAGAAAGTAGAGGAGGATGAAGACGAGGCACGACTGACGGCGCTGGTCAAGAGGGAGAAGCAGAAGCGCAGGCGAGGCGAGGGCCTCTGGGAGCCGCACATGCGCGACAGCATCCTGGCGCGCGCCCGGACGGCCACCATCGACCAGTGGGCCGCGCTGAGCCGCAACAAGCGTCTGTGGCGCAGCGTGCGCGGGTGCCCGGCCACCAAGCGGCGCCTGCTCCAGGCCCTGCAGGACTTCTTCCACGTCGACGAAGGCTCCAGCAAGTGGACCTCCCTCTTCCGTTCTTCTGGTACTACTCTCCATCTATTTTTTTTGTAAATATTGTAAATATAAATAAAGTTGAAATACGAAACATTATAATTATAATAAATTAATATTGTTTATTGGTTTTTCTCACACACATGGTTGAGAGCAGACAAAGAGAAGAAGGTGCGGCTGCCGTCGATCAAGAGCCTGCAGACGGTGCTTGAGGTGTGCAAGTCGCCGGCGCTGCTCGACGTCATCCTCGAGATGCCGATGAGCTTCATCGCCAAGTGCCTCCACCTGCTCAAGGGCGCCAAGGCCTCGCGCGGCGACTTTGCCATCATCGGCCAGCTGGCGCTGAGTCGGTCGCTGCCGGGCGGGATCGTGGCCGAGTGCGGCGAGCTGCTGGCCAACGGCGGGCTGAGCCGCGGGGCCGGCGTGAAAGACATCGGCGTGGTGCTGGCGCTCAAGCATCGGTGGTGCGAGGACTGGCTCATCGACACCCTCAAGCGACTCGTTCCCAAGGCCGACGTACCACGCCCGCCACACACACCATCCCCCCCCCTTACTACGAATGAAGAATGGTGGTGATTTGATCGCCTCACTGGTCCATGACACAATGGCGACAACGACGACAGGTGGACATGGTGAGCCAGATCGCGTACCACGAGGGCATGGTGCCCACGCAGTCGGCCGAGCTGCACGCGGCGATCAAGAAGCGGCTGGTGGGCATCCTGGCGACGGCCAACTTCCAGGACGTGCAGTACCTCAAGGACTGCCAGTTCGAGTTCGAAGTACGTCCAACTCCCAATCTACCACCATGTTCAGGGGATTTGATTTGCTTGGCCTGCTGATGATGAGGTTTGGTGTGTGGGTGAATGAACGACCAGGGGTGGAAGAGCCAGGAGGCGATCGGGGAGCGGCTGGGGCAGCTGGTCAAGCAGCACGCGTACTCGCTGGGCCACTTCAACTGCAGCTGGCTCTGGCACCAGAACCACCCGCGCACGGCCGCCAGTAGCTACTCGCCCACATCGCAGCAGCAGCCGCAGCTGCGAAGGAGGAGGCTGACATCGGTCGAGAAGCAGTTCGACCGCTTCCTCATGGCCACGCGGTCGGCCGAGGCCGCACAACAGCACTCCGCGGATCCGGGCTTCGACCATCACCAGCAACACAACTGCGCCGGCGCCGGTAGGAAAGTGGGTTTCCTGGCGCCGGGCTTTCTCTACTGGGCGCCACCCAGCCGACGCAACGCCACCAGGGCCGTCAACCCGCAGAAGCACTTCGCCAAGGCCATCGAGCGGCTCACGCCCGACGACGCCTTTGACTCCCTCCACCCTGGTCCGCTCTTCGTTCTTTCGCTTTCGCTTTCGCTTTCGTTCTGGCTTTCGCTTTTCATTTTCGTTGTTTTCACGTTCGCGTTCGCTTTCGTTCTTTGACTGATAGTGACATCTTTTGCTGGGATTGAAGCCAAGGGAATGGGAAGCTGTGGTGTAGAGAGGATGGTGGCCCTGCTCGATCGACGAGGCCTCGTCGGCAGCGGGCGCGACGACGTTGTGCGGAAGCCGATCATCGACAAGCTATGCGAGTTCATGCGCACCTGCACCACTGTCGACCTCGAGAACCTCTGCTGCGACAGCAGCCTCGTGCGGCTGACGCCCGTCTTCCACGAGCTGGTCGACCGACTGGTGGCTGCGCTGACCACGTTCGAGACCCTGGAGCTGGTGGTGCGGCTGCGGCAGTCGTGGGTCGAGTGCGTGCTCGACGCCGCGCCGGGCGGCCTCTTGGCGCGGCGCGTGCTGGAGCGGCTCGACTTGTCGTACCACATCGCCAACGCCGACGCCACGTGCATGGTGGCGCTGCTGGCCAGCGCGCGGCTCTACGGGTTCGTGCGGTGCAAGCGGCGGCACATGGGCGAGGCGGCGGTGGCGCTCAAGCGGCTCATCTCGACCATGGTCAACGTCGAGGAGCTGGTGTGCCTGCTCGTGCGGCCCGAGGTGGCGCGGGCCGTGCGCGAGCTGGACAGCGACCAGTGCCGGCTGGTGCAGGCCGTCGACGAGAAGCTCACCATCCATCTGGTGCCGCTGGCCAGCATCACCTGCCTGCGCCTTCTCCACAACCTCGTCCTCAGCAGCAGTAGTAGCCCTGGGACTGACTCTGACGACGCCGCGCCACCACCGATCGTGAAGATGAGCGATGAGCTGCGGGCGGCGATCCTACATCGGCTTTTCATGCTCATCGCCGAGTGTCGATCGCTGGACGACCTCAACGACATCGTCGGCGAGTACGACCCCGACAGCCCGCGCCTCCACCCCGGCAGCGACGAGCCGCTGCGGCATCTGGGGTTCTTCAATGAGCGCGAGCGAGACGCGCTGTGGGGCGAGATGATGGCGGAGAGCCGCGCGCTGCAGGAGTCGATCATGGCAGCGCTGGAGAACGTGGCCAGCGCGGGCATGCCGCGGCGCGACCTGCGGCGGCTGCCCAACTGTCCGTGGATGTGGCACCAGGTCAACGAGCGCGAGCCGCTCAAGTTCTTCCTGCTCCAGCAGAGCCTTCTCGCCATCGACGACGACGCCGCCCCGGCCTCGCCCACCTCTCCCACTTCTTCTTCGTCGTCGCCTGGCCATTCGATGATGATGACGACAGGACCCTGTTCGCCGACTCGTGGGCGCCGAGGCACTGCTGTTTGAGCCACTACTGGGCCATCTCCTCCACCCCTTGGCTCCATCAATGTTTGTGTTTAATGTTGTACAGTTAAGAGAGCATGTTTATAACGTTGGCTCTTCCGGTCTTTTTCTTGATTGGCTCCAGCTGTTAAAAGAGGAGTATGAAGGCAAGGCGTACAGAACACAAAATTGATTGAGAGATGTCCACCACCACCACCGGCATCGTGGATCAGGCCACAGTGGCTGCTGTGCCAGCAGCGGCGGAAGAGCCGAAGAAGAAGACGGAGGAAGAAGAAGCAGCGGTTGGGGGTAACGGCGATGCTGGTGGCGCGGCCGAATCGGCGGCCAAGAAAAAGCGCAACAGGAGGAAGAAAAAGAAGGCCGCTGCCGGCGGTGGCGCTGCTCGTACGTACCTGCTTTTTTGATCAATCTCGATTCGAGCATGTTCGCGATTTAATCTCTTCTTTGTGCACAGCCGGTGAAGAGGAGGGAGAAGAGGGCGAGGAGAGTGCAGAGGATGCAAGCGCTGCTTCCGCCCCCGCGGCTGCCACCTGCGCATCAGTAGGTACGACGCGTACTCGTCCCACGCCTCGGTAGATAGTATTTTTTAGATACTTATCAACTTGGGGGGGGGCAGCAGGAGGAGCGAAAAAGAAGAAAAAGAAGAATAAGGCCGGTGGTGCCGGAGGCGAGCAGCAGCAGCAGCAGAAGAAGAAGGGCACCAGCAACCCCAACCGTACCCCCCGCTCGCCACACTCCACCTACGCAAAGCACGCTTGGATTGGTGATGATCGTTGTAATGGGTGATGGTGCTGTGTGCGTGTGCGTGTGCGTGTGCGTGTGCGTGTGCGTGTGCGTGTGCGTGTGCGTGTGCGTGTGCGTGCAGACATACGGGTGCTTGGCGACTGGGGCGCGGACTATCCCTACGGCCAGACCTCGCCGCCCTCCAAGCCCGTCATCACGCTCTTCCCCAACGGCGACTACCCCACCGGTGAGATCATGGACTATCACCATGACTTGTACGGCATCTTGTGTGCGTTTGTGTTGTGTGTGTGTGTGTGTGGTTTAGTGCACCAAGTAACCAGTGCATGGGCGCTGTGTGTCGGTTGGTGGTGGCAGCAACACGTGGCGTACGACGTCGGCCGAGAGGCGCGAGTTGGACAGGCTCACGACGGACGTGTACCGCGAGGCGCGACTTGCCGCCGAGGTGCATCGGCAGGTGCGGCAATACGTCGAGGGCATCATCAAGCCCGGCGTGCGGTTGATCGACATCTGCGAGCAGCTCGAGAACATGAACCGCAAGCTCGTCAAGGTATCCACCACGACACCACCTATCGCCCACGCGACACGACACGACACACACGACACACCAACTACCGCACACGACACACATAGCAAAATGCTCACATCAGGCCTATTGCAGGAAAATGGACTGCAGGCGGGCATCGCCTTCCCGACCGGTTGCTCGCTCAATCACGTGGCGGCTCACTACACGCCCAACAGCGGCGATACCACGGTGCTGGGCTACGACGACGTGATGAAGCTCGACTTTGGCACGCACGTCAACGGGCGCATCATTGACTGCGCCTTTACGGTGGCGTTCAACCCCAAGTTCGACCCGCTCCTCCAGACCGTCAAGGACGCCACCAACACAGGCATCAAGGTACCCCTTGAGCGCTGGCCAGCCCCTGCACCCCCCACCCCCCCTAGACTGACTATTGTTTCGTTTTCGTTTTTGTTTTCGTTGTCGTTTTCGTTTTATCGTTTGAAAGGCTGCGGGTCCGGACGTGCGACTGTGCGACGTGGGCGCAGCCATACAAGAGGTCATGGAGGCCGGCGAGGTCGAGCTTGACGGCAAAGTTTACCCTAGTAGCCCCCCCCCCGCTCGTTGCCTGTGTGTGTATGTGTGTGTGTGTTGTGTGTGTTGTGTGTGTGTGTGTGTGTGTGCTCACCACGTGCGATGTCAACTAAAACTGTTTAATAATATGTTGATAGTCAAGAGCGTGCGCAACCTCAACGGCCACTCGATTGCGCCCTACGTCATTCACGCCGGCAAGTCCGTGCCGATCGTCAAGGGCGGCGAGGCCACCAAGATGGAGGAGGTCCGACCTCCCTCTCAGAATGGATTCGCTGGGGTGTTAATGATGCTGATGATGGGGTGGTGTCAACAGGGCGAGTTCTACGCGATCGAAACCTTCGGCTCGACGGGCAAGGGCTACGTGAACGAGGACCTCGAGTGCTCGCACTACATGAAGAACGTCCACGCTGCTCACGTGCCCCTCAGGTACTCGCTTCAAGCCCATTTTTGCTACGCACCGCACACACGCCTCACCGCACGCGCACACGGCGGTGGGAACACGACAGGAGCCAGAAGTCGAAGGCGCTGCTGGCCCACATCACGAAGAACTACTCGACGCTGGCCTTCTGCAAGCGCTGGCTCGATCGCTCGGGCGAGAAGGCCTACGCGCTCGCCCTCAAGAACCTGTGCGACGTGGGCCTCGTCGACGCCCTCATGCCGCTGTGCGACGTCAAGGGCTCCTACGTGGCCCAATACGAGCACACGTTCGTGCTGCGGCCCACCTGCAAGGAGGTCCTCTCCCGCGGCGAGGACTACTAGACCACACCCTGCCCTGGGCCACACCTCTCACAACGTGATGGAATGTGTTTTATTTCTTATTATTTATTATTTATTTTTAAAAATAACGCTTTGGCAAAGCTACTCTGTGCTGGATCGTTTGCAATCGGCCCACAGCCAAAGATGTTGATCTTGTTCACCATTTGTCAGCTTGCTTGCCTTCATAGTGGCTCATGTCTGCCAATCACTCGGCGCTCACGAGTCGGCGAACAGGGTCCTGTCGTCATCATCATCGAATGGCCAGACGACGACAAAGGAGGAGTGGGAGCGGTGGGCGAGGCCGGGGCGGCGTCGTCGTCGATGGCGAGAAGGCTCTGCTGGAGCAGGAAGAACTTGAGCGGCTCGCGCTCGTTGACCTGGTGCCACATCCACGGACAGTTGGGCAGCCGCCGCAGGTCGCGCCGCGGCATGCCCGCGCTGGCCACGTTCTCCAGCGCTGCCATGATCGACTCCTGCAGCGCGCGGCTCTCCGCCATCATCTCGCCCCACAGCGCGTCCCGCTCGCGCTCGTTGAAGAACGCCAGATGCCGCAGCGGCGCATCGTCACCGGCAAGGCGCGGGCTGTCGGGGTCGTACTCGCCGACGATGTCGTTGAGGTCGTCCAGCGATCGACACTCGGCGATGAGCATGAACAGCCGATGCAGCATTGCCGCCCGCAGATCGTCGCTCATCTTCACGATCGGTGGTAGCGCGGCGTCGTCAGAGTCAGGCCCAGGGCTACTACTACTGCTGAGGACGAGGTTGTGGAGAAGGCGCAGGCAGGTGGTGCTGGCCAGCGGGACCAAGTGGATGGTGAGCTTCTCGTCGACGGCCTGCACCAGCCGGCACTGGTCGCTGTCCAGCTCGCGCACGGCGCGCGCCACCTCGGGCCGCACAAGCAGGCACACCAGCTCCTCGACGTTGACCATGGTCGAGATGAGCCGCTTGAGCGCCACCGCCGCCTCGCCCATGTGCCGCCGCTTGCACCGCACGAACCCGTAGAGCCGCGGGCTGGCCAGCAGCGCCACCATGCACGTGGCGTCGGCGTTGGCGATGTGGTACGATAAGTCGAGCCGCTCCAGCACGCGCCGCGCCAAGAGGCCGCCCGGCGCGGCGTCGAGCACGCACTCGACCCACGACTGCCGCAGCCGCACCACCAGCTCCAGGGTCTCGAACGTGGTCAGCGCAGCCACCAGTCGGTCGACCAGCTCGTGGAAGACGGGCGTCAGCCGCACGAGGCTGCTGTCGCAGCAGAGGTTCTCGAGGTCGACAGTGGCGCAGGTGCGCATGAACTCGCACAGCTTGTCGACGATCGGCTTGCTCACCAGGCCTCGGTAGAGCAGGGCCACCATCCTCTCGACGCTGCAGCTTCCCATTCCCTTGGCTGCACTGGCATCATCAGAAAGAGCGAAAGCGAAAGCGAAAGCGAAAGAACGAAGAGCGGACCAGGGTGGAGGGAGTCGAAGGCGTCGTCGGGCGTGAGCCGCTCGATGGCCTTGGCGAAGTGCTTCTGCGGGTTGACAGACTTTGCGGCCCACCGATGGGCGGTGCGTCTGTTGGGCGGCGCCCAGTAGAGAAAGCTGGGCGAAAGGAAACTCTCCTTCCTGCCCGTCATACCGGCCGCACAGTGGGTCTGCTCCACGGTGGAGTTCGATGCCGAAGCCGAGCCCTGAGCTGCGGCCTCGGCCGACCTCTTGGCCACGAGGAAGCGGTCGAACTGCTTCTCGACCGGCGTCGGCCTCCTTCTGATGGCGTGCGGGTGAATGTTTGTGGTATCGCGGCCCCGCTGCCCTTGTTGGCCGCCGGTGCCGTTCTGGCGCCAGAGCCAGCTGCAGTTGAAGTGGCCCAGCGAGTACGCGTGCTGCTTGACTAGCTGCTCCAGCCGCTCCCCGATCGCCTCCTGACTCTTCCACCCCTGGTCGTTCAATCACACGCACCCGCACGCAGGAACACACACAACACCACACACAACACGACACACGACACACGACACACACACACACACACACACACACACACACCAAAACCTCACAGTAAGCAGTCAAATCGAGACGACTGAATGGTGATGGCGGGTTGGGCGTACTTCGAACTCGAACTGGCAGTCCTTGAGGTACTGCACGTCCTGGAAGTTGGCCGTCGCCAGGATGCCCACCAGCCGCTTCTTGATCGCCGCGTGCAGCTCGGCCGACTGCGTGGGCACCATGCCCTCGTGGTACGCGATCTGGCTCACCATGTCCACCTGTCCTCGTCGTCGCCATTGTGTCATGGACCAGTGAGGCGATCAAATCACCACCATTCTCCATTCGTAGTAGAGGGGGTGTATATGTGTGGTGGGCGTGGTACGTCGGCCTTGGGAACGAGTCGCTTGAGGGTGTCGATGAGCCAGTCCTCGCACCACCGATGCTTGAGCGCCAGCACCACGCCGATGTCCTTCACGCCGGCCCCGCGGCTCAGCCCGCCGTTGGCCAGCAGCTCGCCGCACTCGGCCACGATCCCGCCCGGCAGCGATCGGCTCAGCGCCAGCTGGCCGATGACGGCAAAGTCGCCGCGCGAGGCCTTGGCGCCCTTGAGCAGGTGGAGGCACTTGGCGATGAAGCTCATCGGCATCTCGAGGATGACGTCGAGCAGCGCCGGCGACTTGCACACGTCGAGCACCGTCTGCAGGCTCTTGATCGACGGCAGCCGCACCTTCTTTTCTTTGTCTACTCACCCCCCCCCCCAAAGAAAACAAACCACATCAACCAAAGTTGAACCAGTCGAAGAAGTAAAATGAGGCGTAGAGTGCAAGATGGAGAGTAGTACCAGAAGAACGGAAGAGAGAGTGCCACATGCCGGAGGCCTCGTCGACGTGGAAGAAGTCCTGCAGGGCCTGGAGCAGGCGCCGCTTGGTGGCCGGGCACCCACGCACGCTGCGCCACAGGCGCTTGTTGCGGCTCAGCGCGGCCCACTGGTCGATGGTGGCCGTCCGGGCGCGCGCCAGGATGCTGTCGCGCATGTGCGGCTCCCAGAGGCCCTCGCCTCGCCTGCGCTTCTGCTTCTCCCTCTTGACCAGAGCCGTCAGTCGTGCCTCGTCTTCATCTTCATCTTCATCCGCTACTTTCTTCTCCTCCACCACTTTCTCCTTCATCATCGTCTTCTCCCTCTTCTTTTCCTCTGGTCGCTCCACCTTCTTCATGTTAACAATGGGCTCAACTGGGTGGACGGTGATGATTGCGTCGAAGGATGTGGTGATGGTGCCGCCTCGCTCGAGGACTGAGGAGCCGATGCGGGCGCACGTGGTGGAGAGGGTGCGCATCTTGGCCACGCCAGCGACGCCCATGAAGAGGAAGATGCGCTCCCAGATCTCGGTCGGCACCTGCCCGAACTCGGGCACCACCGCCCTCTTCGCTGTAGAAGGTCCCACCGTGATGAAGCTCGAGGGCGACGATGCCATCATCTCTCTCAATCAGCAGCGGTACTCTATCAAGCTTGTGGTGCGGCGCCTGAGCTAGTTGCACTTCATTATTACCTATTCTAGTGCTGATCAGCACCAGCTTACCTTTTCTGATGTTGAGCATCAACAAACATGGTAGCTGTGCTCCGTAACTGGGCCAGGGCAACGAGGAGGACCGGAGATGATGATCATGTTGTGGTGAGCAGGAGTGGAGGGTCAGGAGTCATGTAGCGGGAGGTAGGAGAGGGTCAGGGGTGTGGTCTAGTAGTCCTCGCCGCGGGAGAGGACCTCCTTGCAGGTGGGCCGCAGCACGATGGTGTGCTCGTATTGGGCCACGTAGGAGCCCTTGACGTCGCACAGCGGCGGGTAGGCGTCGACGAGGCCCACGTCGCACAGGTTCTTGAGGGCGAGCGCGTAGGCCTTCTCGCCCGAGCGATCGAGCCAGCGCTTGCAGAAGGCCAGCGTCGAGTAGTTCTTCGTGATGTTGGCCAGCAGCGCCTTCGACTTCTGGCTCCTGTCGTGTTCCCAGCGGCAGGCCGTTGTGATTAACAAATTGTTCTGTGTGTGTGCGTGTGTCGTGTGTGTGTGTGTGTGTGTCGTGTGTGTGTGTGATGTTGGGTGTGTACCTGAGGGGCACGTGAGCAGCGTGGGCGTTCTTCATGTAGTGCGAGCACTCGAGGTCCTCGTTCACGTAGCCCTTGCCCGTCGAGCCGAAGGTCTCGATCGCGTAGAACTCACCCTGTTGACACCACCCCATCATCATCACCACAACAATCACAACCATCAGCAAATGTGAGTGAGACTCGCAAAAAGGAAGGGCGCACCTCCTCCATCTTGGTGGCCTCGCCGCCCTTGACGATCGGCACGGACTTGCCGGCGTGAATGACGTAGGGCGCAATCGAGTGGCCGTTGAGGTTGCGCACGCTCTTGACTGTCAACATATTATTAAACATTAGCACCGCTCGCATCACGTGGGAGCGCAGCCCTGTTTGGTCAGGGCTGGCATGGTGTGGGGTGGTCAGGGCGCGTACTCTGGTAGACCTTGCCGTCGAGCTCGATCTCCCCGGCCTCCATGACCTCCTGCACGGCTGCGCCCACGTCGCACAGTCGCACGTCGGCGCCCGCGGCCTTGATGCCGGCCTCTGTGGCGTCCTTGACGGTCTGGAGGAGCGGGTCGAACTTGGGGTTGAACGCCACCGTGAAGGCGCAGTCGATGATGCGCCCGTTGATGTGCGTGCCAAAGTCGATCTTCATCACGTCGTCGTAGCCCAGCACCGTGAAATCGCCATTGTTGGGCGTGTAGTGAGCCGCCACGTAGTTGAGCGAGCAACCGGTCGGGAAGGCGATGCCCGCCTGCAGACCGTTTTCCTGCAAATGTCCGGCGGTGTCACTACTTCTCTTCTTGCGTTGTGTGTCGTGTCGTTGGTCGTGTCGTTGGTCGTGTCGTATGTGTCGTGTGTCGTGTGTGTCGTGTGTGTCGTGTGTGTCGTGTGTGTCGTGTGTGTCGTGGTGGATACCTTGACGAGCTTGCGGTTCATGTTCTCGAGCTGTTCGCAGATGTCAATCAACCGCGCACCGGGCTTGATGATGCCCTCGGCGTATTGCCGCACCTGCCGATGCACCTCGGCGGCAAGCCGCGCCTCTCGGTACACGTCCGTCGTGAGCCTGTCCAACTCGCGCTTCTCGGCCGACGTCGTACGCCACGTGTTGCTATTCATCATGCAACAACCACGACACGACACACACACACACACACACACACACACAGCGTCCACCAGTCAGTTAATGCTCAGCGCAGGAGAAGAGCTATGGCCAACGAGAACGAAGAGCAGGCGGCGTACAAGTCCTGGTGATAGTCCATGATCTCACCGGTGGGGTAGTCGCCGTTGGGGAAGAGCGTGACGACAGGCTTGGAGGGCGGCGAGGTCTGGCCGTAGGGGTAGTCCGCGCCCCAGTCGCCAAGCACTCGGATGTCTGCACACCACACACACACACACACACACACACACGGGCCACAATTCCAGGATTACAACACCATCTCACTTAATGTATAAAACTGAAGCCCTTCGAAGGGGTGGAGGTGTATGTACGGTTGGGGTTGCTGGTGCCCTTCTTCTGCTGCTTCTTAGGCTGACCGCCCTGCTGCTGCTGCTGCACTGCGCCTCCGGCACCACCGGCCTTGCTCTTCTTCTTCTTCTTCTTTTTCGCTCCTCCCGCTACAAACAAGGATCAATCACACAACGAATGCGAAAGAAGGGGTACCGGGCAGAGGTACCTCCCGCCGCGGGGGCAGCATCTTCAGACGCAGCGGAGGCTGCAGGTGCCTCCTCGCCTCCATCCTCACCTTCCTCCTCTTCTTCCCCGGCTGTACATAATGGTGGAGAGATGAAATGACGAGTAAATCGCAAATGGAGACAAAAAAGAGACGAAAACAAGCCGATTTTTAAGACGTGGGCAAGCAAAAGCAGGTACGTACGAGCGTTGGCACCACCGCCGGCAGCGGCCTTCTTTTTCTTCCTCCTGTTGCGCTTCTTCTTGGCCGCTGATTCGGCCGCGCCACCAGCATCACCGTTGGCTACGGCTTCCTCCGTCTTCTTAGGCTCCTCCGCCACTGGCACAGCCACTGTGGGTTCTTCTGTAGTGGACATCTCTCTCGATCGAATTTTGTGGTGAAGATGATGCAAATGGGGTGCCTGCTTCAAATTCTGGGGCGCTACAAGAGAAGGAAAGAAATGAGAAAGAAAAAACATTACACAAAATTACGTTCCGCGTGCTGCGCTCACAGCACCTGTGAATTTACATAGCAGTTGCTATCAAAATTGATAGCCCGCTCCATCGCAGCGGTGGCTTTCTGGCGTCGCATGCCGACAACGACTCCGAAGATGATCACCACAACTACGCCCACGATGGCGAGCGGGACGGCCACAGCCACGCCGATCACCATCGCACTGTTGTCGCCGCTACCGCCTTTGCCGTCGTCGCGGTTGAGCAGGGTGCCCATCCCGATGGCCGGGTCGTAGGCCAGCGTGTCGTTGTAGTACGGGAAGGCCAGCTCGAGCATGAAGCCCGCGCGTACTCCGCTGGCGGCAGGCCGCAGTCTGATGGCGTGGGCGATTGGTCGCAGGTGGGCGGCGGTGTCGCCGTCGACCAGCGCAAGGTCGAACACTTCCACTCTGGCCACCACGCGGCCCGATGGGCGGTTGAGAGTGAGGTAGTAGGTGGTCACGTTGCGCCGTGGTGTGTGGTTCCTCCGCTCCGGCGCCCAGCGGGTGTCGAACCCCGCCTCAGTGGCTGCCGCGCCACCGGCCCCAGAGGCGAACACGCTGTCGAGGCTGTAACGCATGGTCACTCGCTGTGGTCCACGCAGGAGCTCGGCTATGTTCTCCAGGCGGATGGACCACTTGACGGTGCTGGCCCCGACCTCGTAGGCCAGGCCAGCAAAGTCCTCAGCCGTGCGGTTCTGGTGGAAGGTGAACGACTGGCTGACGGAGGTGATGTCGTCGACCTGTCCGGTGAAGGTGTAGGTCGTCAACTCATCCGAAGATTGTGTCGTTGTTCGTCTCAGCCCTGTCAGCCGCACACACACACACACACCACACGTACCATTGATGAGTGTTGCTCTGCCACCACTTCAAATGTTGGATGGTAAGGAACCCACCAATCAAAGACGAAGAGAAGAAGTAGCTATCGCCCACCGATATGTCTGCAAACTCGATGGCAAGACTGACTGTCCCTGCAGCTGCTCCCGACTCTGCATTGCATCCGCCGCCGAGCTAAAGTTAGCTTTAACAACATGCTACAGCCACTCTCATTTTACGGAGACGGACCTGCTTGGACGGAAGCCGACATCTCGATGGCGACGGCGTCCTCTTGGAAGTTGGCAGTGGTGTTGGCGAGGGAGGTGAAAGACACGGGGGACGGTGTCGGAGACCGGGTCGTGGCGGACGTCAAGGCAGAAGGTGTCGGAGAGGGAGTTGCCGTGCCCGACGTCGAAACAGTGGGTGAAGGAGTTGTAGAGATGGTAGGTGAGGCAGTGGTCGAGATAGTAGGAGAGGGAGTAGCGGAGATGGTAGGCGAAGGAGTGAGCGATATGGTGGGCGAGGGAGAACGCGATATGGTGGGCGAAGGTGTGGTAGAGATGGTGGGCGAGGGAGTGTGCGATATGGTGGGTGAAGGTGTGGTCGAGATGGTAGGCGAAGGAGTGAGCGATATGGTGGGCGAAGGTGTTGTAGAAATGGTGGGCGAGGGAGTGGTCGAGATAGGTGGCGAGGGAGTAGTAGAGATGGTGGGTGAAGGAGTGGTCGAGATGGTAGGCGAAGGAGTGAGCGATATGGTGGGCGAGGGAGAACGCGATATGGTGGGCGAAGGTGTGGTGGATATGGTGGGCGAGGGAGTGAGCGATATGGTGGGCGAAGGAGTGGTCGAGATGGTAGGCGAAGGAGTGAGCGATATGGTGGGCGAGGAAGTAGTGGAGATGGTAGGCGTTGGAGTGGTCGAGATGGTGGGCGAGGGAGTAGTGGTAGGCGAGGGACTGCGGAGGTTAGGGGACGTGCAGCTGATTTCGGTGATGGTGATATTCGCCGGGTCGGGCGAGTCCCACAAGTACCCAAACAAATGGCTCGACCCGGCCGGGATGCCCACTGGACCCTGGTAGTAGTCCTCGGTCAGATAGTCCGGCAAGTTGCAGGTGGGTGCCGAGTCGGTTTCCAGCTCCCATATAAACTGACCGCCCGCCTCCGAGTTGACGAAGACATCGGGGAACTGCAGCACAGCTTGCAGAACTTGTTGCGAACCGGCCACGAGTACGCCCTTATATTCCACCAGCGCCGGCCCGTCCGACACTTTCGTCTGAGATAACGTCAGGGTGCAGGGTGGTGTCCCGAAAGTTTGGCCTGTGTCTGGTTCGGGTACGGCAGGGAGGAATATCAAAAATAAAAAATCAATAATAAAACAACAACTACAAGAAGGAGGGGTGCAGCGTAGCGGGGGGGGGAGGGTACTTCTTCCACAGGAGGACAGAGGACTGTAGGCTGAGAGGAGGAAGAAGAGGAGGAAAGGGGTGAACATTTGGGCTGTGTACAGGGAGCAGCGCCGCTGCGGCGCAATGAGCAGGAGAGAGTTAGTCATGTGAGCTTGTGATGTGGCTTGGGTCGTCGTCGTTGTGGTTGAGGTTGGGTCACCTTGCCGAAGAAGATCGTGATGTGACACTAGTTAGGACAAAAAAGGAGCTTTTTCCCTTTCTCGGTGGTAGGACTGTTTCTTGTCTATGCGATGGCCATCAAACCTACAGCTTGGCCTGGCCGGCATCGGCAAAGAGGGCGCCCATCTCCACGAGCGTGTTGTGCAGCGTCTCGCGCATCCGGGCCGAGTCTGCTCGGTGCACATGCCACAGCCCGCGGGACGCACAAGCGGGTCAGACCCGCGTACGAGGAGGTGAGCAGTCTGATGATAGATAGCGGTACCGGTTGTGGGGCACGAGCGAAGGGAGGTGATGGTGAACTGCAGCATGTCGTTGCGCGTGCCGTAGCAGACGCCGTAGCCGTCCGCCGCGACTGGCCCGAAGCCTGCATAGCGTCAGACGTGCGTGAGGCATTATTGCGTGCAGGCATCATCACAAGCAAGGCTTACCGCTGATGTAAAGCTTGCCGGGCATGTTGCTGGTGGACAGGCGGAAGGTGGAGCTCTCCGCGTAGGCCCTGTCCTTGAACAGCTCAGGCATGCCCAGGCTCTTTTCCTCCTCGTCCTCCATCGCCACCAGCTTCAGTCCGAGCAGGTGCCTGTCAACCCCGCGGGCTGTTGCGCAGGAAAAGCGCACGTAGCAGTTTTGTTAGTGTGTGCGGTGTGCAGTGTTTGCTAGGTTTGATGAATGTATGTCGCACCATTAGTGGCGTCGGCCATGAGAGCCTTGGAGTGGTGCTCGATGGCCTTGCGTAGAAGGTCGATCCGCTTCTGCTTGGGCGCCGAAGCGTCGGTCATGGCCTTGGTCCACTCGACCGACTCGGCGCAGAACGAACGCACGGTCTCTGTACGCCCGTGGTAGAACTGCCTCGTCTGGCCAGTCTCGTACGTGGCCGTCCCTGCGGCAGTTTTGTCGCGTCAGCCACCTTACTCTGCTCGGCATTTCGGGAATGTTTCTACGCCCAGGCGCGGTTGCGAGGGAGCGTACCGGTGTGGTAGAGCTTGTAGTAGGCCAGCTGGAGGGCCATCTGCACGTACGAGTCCGGGCTGAGCTTGGCCTTCTCCTTGATCCAGTCGGCACCGTAGGTGCGGAAATGGAGCAGCCGGAAGTCCACATCCTGGCCCACCTTGCCGTAGCTCTCCACCGCCCTGCAACCCAGGTGTGAGCAAAAGAAATTAAAGAAATTAAAGAAATTAAAAATAATGTGAAAGAAAGTGCCGCACTCTTCCTGGGCGGTGCGCAGAGAGGGCGAGAGCGTCCACTGCAGCTTGGTGGGCGCGCGCAGGTCGGACGCCACAGACTGCTCCTCGGACGGCAGCGACGACTCCTGCGCCCTGCGAAGGTAGCGCAGCATGTGGTCCGTCATTGCGCCAGCGGTCGGCGCATCGATGGGCCTGTGTAGCGGCACCCCACAGGAGAGAGCGAGGTGAGACCCGTGCATAAATATGATTTTTGTTGCCGATCGGATCACGCACGTGTGCTCTCCGTTGAGTCCGCCGCGGCCGTTCTTGAACACGATGTACTGCACGATCTTGTCGTACCACCTATTCTCGCCGTTGCCGACGAGGCACAGATGCCCGGCCGTGTCCACGTCACGCGGGCTCTCCTATCATGTGATTGGGGTGAGCAGCTACAGGTCCCAAAAGAAGTGGTGAGTGACGTCATGGGTAGTACCTCGTCAAGGCACAGCACGAAGAGGGCCTTGTCAATGACGTCGAGGTTGCGTGCGTTGGTGGCCGAGATGGAAACCAACTCCTGGCGGGCCTTGGCCCACTTGTCCCTGTCTTCGCCGGTCAGGATACCCACGCCGAGCCCTGTGCGCCCATCAATGGCATCACACTTTAGCTCTGGCGCATCTCAGTGCGACTGGGGCCTAGCATGGGTCGTACCGTCGTTGGACTCTTGGCTGGCCTGCAAGATCCGCTCGATCTGTGCCTGCAGCTCCTTCACGGTGAGCGCGCGGTTGGATGCCTTGTCGAGAACATCGAGCACGTAGAACTGCTTGTTGCTCAGTACGAGGACGTAGGGCTCCGGCTCGAAAGTGGCAATCTATAGGGGCGCATCGTGAGACACAGGACAGGAAAAGAGAGCGTGCGACTGGTTCTGACGTGCGAGGAGGGAAAGAGTCGCATTACGTAGTCCTCGCCCTGCTGTGGGTAGCGAGCGGTGGTGAAGAGCTTCGAGTACTGGCTCATGTCCAACGGCACCGTGCCCCGCATCATCTCCGCAGGCACGCCTTGCTTGTCAAGCACAGCCTTGAAGTCCAGCACGCCTGTTTACATCCCACAAACAACAAACAACATAGCAGTCGGCTCAGTGAAGCGAGCATGGCAGCCAGAAGAGCAGTGTAGCGCATACTCACCCTTGATGCAAAGGGACGCCACAAGGGACTGCGAGACGTCGGGGCGTTCGGGTCCCTGCACCTTCTCGTCGAAGAGGAAGTAGTACGACACGTTCACCGGCGTAGGGCACCGCCAGATGTTGTACGCGTACTTGAGCCTTTTGGGGCACAGAGAAGAGGGACATCGCGGTGAGGGACAACGATCGATGCTAGCGTGCATAACATCACGTACCACCACTCCTCAAGCCAGTTACGCTTTTGTTGCGAGCGCGCCACGAGCTTGCTTTGCAGACGCTGGCCGCGACCGCCAGCGGCCTTGAACTCCTCGGCCAGCGCACGCGTGCGCTTCATCTCCTCCGGCGAGAAGATGCCTGCGCACCACAGCGCCGAGCCGCAACCAAAGGGAATGGAGTGAGACCACAATCGAGTCGAGTGCGCGTGTAGGGGAAGGAAGGCGCACCCAGCATCTCAAAGGGCTGCAGTGAGCGAAGGTACTTGGCCAGCGTCTCCTCAAGAGGCGGCACGGGCAGCGAGGGCAGTTTGTCCTGGTACGCGTAGGTCGGTGCCGCTGTCGTGGTGCATAGTGGTACGAACAACATGAGATGAGCACTCTCTTTTGAGGTCACGAGATTGTGAGAGCACAACGCCTGATTGATAATGAAAAAAAAGAGGGGACATACGAGGTGGGGTGGTCCTGGTGGCGGTGGCGCGACATTCAGCCGGCAGCAGCGCCCTCGCGCCAGTCACCGCCGTCGTCGATTTGTGCGCCAGCCTCTGCAAATTGGCACCTCGCGTGCTTCTCATTTATCGTTTGCTGTCTCTGCTCCAGTCTGCTTGCGCTGTTGGTGTTGGTTTGGTTCCCCCATCCTCCCAAAAAGGTGGTATTGGATAAAATTTTCCGCTTTTCGAAACGTTTTCCAAACTTTAATCGAAACAGCGGAACCTGAGCTGTTTCGCGCCATTTTTTTGATTTCCGGCAAATCATTCAGCTCGCAACAGAATGGAGAAGGACCCGGAGGAAGATGAGGAATTGGACGAGCGCATGGGGAGCACGAGGGGACAATGGCACTACAGCAGCAACCGGCGAGGAGAGGACGAAATCCTTACGGGCAGCAGACCGTGGTGGGCCGGGCTCGAGGAGCGGCTGCCCCTCGACGTGGACAGCCTGTCGTCTGGAGAGCGCCGCTGGCTCGACCACCTCTACGCCGCTGCCACATGCGCACTCTACTCCTGCCCCTCCTCAGCCGCAGGCTCGGTCTCACCCTCCTCCCCGCTCTTCTCGCCCTCGCTCCCTGCCTCAGCCGACTCCTCCTCTCCCGCGGCAGCGCTCGAGTTGGCTCCGCGCCTGTGCCAGGCTCTCCTCCATGCTCTACGCCAGCTGCGGTACGTACACCTACTGCTCATCATCACACCAGCTCACTTGCCATGGTGGACAACCGTCAAAACAGATCGGAGACGTGCGATGTAGAGGAACAGGAGCCGTTCTGGTGTGCCATGAACCTGCCGCCCATCAGTCTTGCCGATTTACTGAGGGCGTCGCGGGCGAGTGTGAGCGACGGCGATCATCGGATGGCCACAAGCACCAGTACGACCATGACCACGACCACGAGTACAGCGCGGACCAGCAGGCGCCTTATAACGGCGCCGCCGGCGGGCTTTGTCGGCTGTGACCTGGGCGCCTTCTTTCGTTCCGAAGTGGAACCCTCCCCGGCAAGCCGGTCGTCCCCTCCGCCCGACCTGTTCGCCCTACCGCGCGATAGTGTCCAAATGACGGCGTCATCGCCCATTCGCCAGGTGCCATTCATCCTCATGGCTCGGCTCAAGTCAGGTACTAGCACTCTTCGCTTCGGCCAGTGCCCTTGCGGGCACACGACTCACGCGAGTCCTCTCAGGCAATGCTTCTGTGCGCCGAGAGACCGATCTGCGCAAGGGGGTCGGTTTGTACCTGGAGGACAGAAGCGGTTGCCTGGCCTGCGAGATGCTAGAGCCGGACCCATCCGCCGTTGGCCAAATTATTCTGATCTCCAGCGCCAACTTCATCCCCACCCACACGCCACCGTCGTCGCCTGACGGTGCACTTCCCTTAGCAGTATGAATGACGCGTCAATGACTGATATGTTTATGTTGGCCCAGAGTTGCCCGGCTATCTGGAGATCAGTCAGTGGGTTCCGCTGCTCGACCCTAGTAATCCACAAGCGAGTCCGGCGTCGATTCAAGCACTCGGTGAGCGCTACAAGCCTCTGGTCCCGCGACACGTCGCCCTGAGAGCGGTACTGCCCTATGAGTCGTGAACTGCTGGCCCTGATGCTTAGCCAATGCTGGTGCTGGCCATTTTCACACTACTCGTAGGGGCTCACAAAAGAGCTGTTCGACCACGAGTCGGGAGAGCCTTCGGCAAAGAGGAAGAAGAAGGAGCAGGTACGCGGGCACCACCTTCAACTCCTTGAGGGAACTGACGACGTCGGCCTGTCGATCTCATGTTCTTACGCTCCGAGGGCAGGTGAGCATCGTTGGCAAGGTGACCGCCCTCAGCCCTGTCAAGTGGACGCACGACAAACCGCAGTTCCTGCTCCAGCTCAACCTAACCTACAAGCGCAAGTCCATTGCTGTACCGCCACACCCTGTTGTTCCCCTCCCACGAAGCTGCTTTCGTCTTACCGCTGGGATGGACGATCGCCCCACAGGGCGCGACACGAGAGGTCTCTGTTCTGGTGCTGTTCGGCGAGCGGGAGTGCGCGCGTTGGTACCCCTGTCTGGTGATGGACAAGAACTACCTGATCACGCGCCTTCGCCCGGCCAAACTGTTTGAACAATCGTACGACATCCAATCCACCAACCACTCCCCGCACATGTACTCTAGAGCTCATAATCTCCACCAGAGAAGTGTTTGCTGCCACGGCTGCCACCTCGCTTCATCTCTTTGGTGCGTACCATTGACCCTACGATGACACTCCCACAACACCACTCATCGTAATACTACAACTTTGACACGACCACGGGTGATAGAGGGCTCAGTCGCGCCGTCTCAAGTCCTCAACCAATCCCGCGAGACCTCGCTACTACTCTTTGACCACCCTACGCCCTGGGGTACGCCCAGAGTCTTACCTCCAGAGTGCCAGGCTCCGAACGGCCGGTTTCTTAAGGCTTGAGCCAACCCAACGTTGATTGTCGAATCGTTTGCAGACAGTTCGGTCCCCAGCTCGCCCGCTTCGCCGTCGCCGTCGCAATCGCCGTCGCGATCCCCATCACCTTCACCCAATCCAAGCTCTGCTGCTGCCGCGGTCTCGGGACTCTCCCTAGTGGACTTGGTCCACAGGAGGTACGATCCCCACTTGGGGTAGTTGTGGGAGTGAGTGCTCATGAGCGCCCCGCACGCAGGCTGGTGAACTACGAGGGCCGAATCACCGGCTACCTGGGACACGGTGTTTTCGAGCTGGATGACCGACTCGACCGCAAGCTGTTTCTTTCTCACTACCACACGCCACACCTCGATAGGTTCGTTTCACACACACACACACCACACACACACACACACACACACACGACACACACGTGGTGATGACGCCGCACCTGCACTTGCAGAGTCCTTCGAATCGGCAACCTGGTGCGACTGTACAACGTGCACTTGATCGTGCGGCCATGGCATCCCGTTCCCTACTCATCAGACGACTTCAGCGGCCTAGTCGAGGTAATGCGTGTGTTGTTGTTGTGGTGCGGCGCGGTACGCATCGTGGTCACAAACCGACGGGCCATCACTATCAGGGGTTCGGGTGTTGCAGCTACAGCCGGGTGAGCGTGGTACAGTTCGGATCGGACTGCCAACCGCCTCCGCCGCTGTTCTCCGCCCGAAAGCGCGGTTCGCTGGAGACCTACCTTCGCCGCTATCCCCTCTCCGCGGCGCCCTGGTATGTGCAGCTGCTCATCCAAAACATGCGCTCTCTCTTACACGTTGGCTTGTAACTTGTACCCAGGATACTCCACGTGTACCCCAGCCTCGTCCAGCGATGGCACTCGGACCGCCGCATTCTCTTTGCTGGCGTACACCCGCCTTTGCGCCGCACAGCTGTTGTTAGCGAGCATGATCTCTGACTTTTGGCTGTCATCGGGCTTGCTAAGCACAGGAGGACTTGGGTCTGCTCCACACTCTGTGCCGGGTGGCCCGCCTGCAGCAGACCAACATCCACCTGTGGAACGAATTCACCAACCACCGGGCCTGTTGCATCACGTACGTTGTGCCAGCTGCGCGAACGCCACCTCACCTCAATTCGGGGGCTCACGAGACTCATCATTTCTCGCCGTCGCGTGCGGCCAGACGCCCTATTCTGGGCCTGCCCGAGGTACCCACGCTCAAGGAGTTCCTGGTGGCGGCCGCCACGCTGAAGCGACCACCCGGCACCAGCCTCCACGCACCCTGTAACCATCCACCTCACGACTCCTCCCCTGTAAGCGCTGATTAACAGCCGGCTGGACTGACCGATGACCGACCACGCGTATGGTGCACAGTTGTGGTATGTAGTAGCGAGCTGCCGCGGCCCGTGGTGCTGGTGGGCAAGCTCACGGGCGCGACGGAGCTCTCGGACGACACCGGCCGTGTGAGCGTGGAGATCATCGGCCTGGACGCTGGCATGCTGGACGCCTACGTGTGCCTACCCGCGTTCAGGCTCGCGTTCGACCCGGCCGCGGGCCTGTGCGTGGTGGCGGCCATACGGGACGTGGTGGTCCACTCGCCCCTCGCCGCGCTCGAGCAGCAGCAGGCCATCCCGCCGGCCCAGGAGATCAAGAAAGAGGCCGCGCACGGCTTTGTAGTCATGGTACACCACCACGGAGTCTGCGCAGCGTCGCTGGCTGACCCCTTGTGACGTCACCTTTGGCAGGTGCTCGACAGACTGGTCCACAAGCCCAACACCGGCTTGAGTCTGCAGTCGCTCTGCGTCGAGGCCGTCCATCTGCCTACCCCCACTTCAGCGGCGCTGGGCGGAGAAGGGCTGCGGCCTCCCGTGATCACGCTGGAGCTGCCCGCGCCCCGGCTGACCCGCTACTACGCGGCGCTCCGGCCGGGTGGGGTGTACGGCCTGAACGGGGTGAGCGCCGTCGATGGCAGTCGGGGCGAGCGCCACCGATTGCACCCGGCCGGCCGCATCGAGAGCGTGCAGCTGGTGTCGGCCGACAACGGGCGGCCGTTGCTGTGCTGCTCTGAGGACCAGCTGCCCGCGGCACCCAGCATCGTAGCCTCCCGGCGGGCCGTCACGCTGCACGACGCCGCGCTCGCCGAGGCCCTGCCCCGACTGCTCAACCCGACCAACGACCTCCAAACGTACCAACGCCGCCCGGCCTGGCCCGAGTGTATCGTGAGGAATGCAAGGTATGTGGAAGCTGACGTGTCACGTTGGCCGTCAGGGTGCACGAGCTGCTGGAGGTGGAGTACAAGCAAACGGGCGGACCGTACGGCGCGGTCCAGCCTGCGCTGCGCGACGAACGGGCCGTGGTGTCGTTCGCCTGCATCGTGGTGAGCGTGCTGCAGGCCACCCCAGAGAGCCTGGCCCAGCGCCGGGTGGTGTGCGCCGACCACCTGCACGCCCCGCCGGCCGACACGATCACCGTCTCGGCCGACTGCTACGTCATGCCCCGCTCTCTCCTCCCCGGGGTCCGCGTACGTCTCCTCCGGAGCGACCATCATCGATAGTGGTCGCTCATTCTTGACATTCTTGATGACTGCGACGACCAGGCCGTGTTCAGGAATGTGCAGCGGCAGGTTAGCCCCGGATTCGAGGTGCGCTGCCAGCTGCAGGCCACGTCGTCCGTGCGCGTCTTGTCGTTGCCCACCGTGTCGGCCGTACTGAACGCTGCCGCCTTGCCCATCGAGTACGTGCCGTGTGCCATGTGTCGTGTGTGTCGTGAGTGTCGTGTGTCGACGTCTGACGTTCGACAAAGGAGAGCCTACGACCACGTTGCAGACGCCTGCCTCTATGACCTGCAGTGCCGGCCGTGTCTGCGGCTGTCGCTCCTGCGCCTTCGCTGCACCGTCACCGCGTTCATACTCGTCACGTTCTCTCTCGGGTATGCGCCGCCTCGCCCTCTTTTGTCGGCGCACCACACCTACACACGTCTTTCTGCTCTGTGTGGCCTAGGCCCGGTCGCGAGCTTCGGGCCGAGGCCGAGGCCTCGATCGACGATGGCACTGGCGAGGCCAAGCTGCTGTTGTCCGGCCCACTGGCAGCCGAATTGCTGGGCCTGTCCATCGAGTACTCTCTCTCCCAACCCCGCCACTTGCACAGAACGAGACTGATGGCGTGATCGCACGCACCGACGCACACGACACAGGGACACGGAGGTGTTGAAGCGAGGGCTACAACGGCACGGGATTTTCAAACACGGTCAAGCCGAGGAGGGGGGACGCAACGCCGGGCGATGGCGCGCCGTCTCGCCTCCGCCCCACGTGCTGCCGAGGCCATTGCTTCCTCCTTCCGACGACGCCGGCGTCGCCGGACCGAACCTCGCCTCTGCTCCGCCACTCACACCGGCCCACGAACTGCTCCTCAAAGAGAAGATGCGGCTGGTGACCCGCCCCTCCCAGCGCTTCCTCATCACCTGCGGCGTCAAGCTGCCGGTACGTTTCTTCATCACCATCTGCATCATCACCATCACCATCACAGTCTTCATCATCTTCATCTCAGTGTCATCTCAGTATATCGTCATTGTCAGAGGGTCAACGACTGATGTTGGTTGGTTGGTGGTTGGTTGGGTGCAGAGCCGACAACAGCACAACGAGCGGGGGCGGTGGCACGACCCGCGGCGGCAGAAGCCAGTCGACGCCAAGGACGCCGGGGGCAAGGGGCTCAAGCAGCACACCCACGCGCCGCCCAGGCTCTGGCTCGAGGCCAACTCGGTCGTGCGCGCCAGTCCCAGCCAACTGGTGATGTAATTGAGATTTCCTCATTCTTATCTATGGACATAGCTTGATACAAAGGTTGGCGGCCGACCCAAATGGGGTACCTAAAGGTTGAGGGCAGGTGGAGCGTTCGGTGAGAGTCCAAGGAAGGCCAAGAGAGAAAAAAAAAGAAAAGAACTAAGGGAAAGAGATATTGATGTTTCTTGGCACAGCACAAGTCACGCGAAGATGAGGCGAAGCTTCTTGGCGCTGTGCACAGCTTCCATGCTGCTGCTGCTCACCGCTTTTGGTACAAGCGTGGCCTTGGGCGAGAGTTGTAATCGTGCCGGCTCCGCTCGCGTCGTGGAGGTGAGGAACAAAGCCATTTCAATTTCGGCACCTTCTTCTTTTTGTGCTAGAATGGCATCATGATGATCATGAGTGCGAGGGAATGACCTGACACCACTCATTGTTCTTCAACATGTTGCCGTGATTGCAGACCGAGATTGATGGCCCCGTCGAGGTGATTGAGTGGATCAGAAAGCCAGACGGCAGCCTAAACCTCAAAACCCAGGTTCGATCCTCGCGTATCCTCTCCATCTCCTTCAAGGCTCACCATACCTCCCACACTTGTGTGTAAACGTTGTACGCTGGGCTCGAACAGGCGGTGTTCGTGATCACGTCTGCGGGCAGCCTCTACCGCAGCGGCGATGAGGGCCAGAGCTGGTCGCAGCAGACCAGAGTGGGTCCCGTGAAGGCCGTGTCCCGCACCAACAACACAGACATGCAGTGGTTCTACAACCCCGTGACGGGCAGGGCATGGACGACCGACAACCAGGGCCTCACCTACACGGCCGTGGCGCCCGACCGCCAGTTCGTCTTCCTGCAGGCCCACCCGACCCTCGCCAGCACCGCCCTCGCCATCATCTCAGATAATAGCGTCAAGAACGTACGGCGGTGTGCGTGTGCGGTGGTGCGTGTGCGGTGGTGCGTCGCGAAGAAACGGCTCTCACCTGGTGGCGATGCGTTAGTTGTACGTGACGACGGACTTCGGAGCGACCTGGCACAAGAAGCACGACCACGTGGAGCAAGCCGAGTGGGGTTCGGCCGGGCAGGACGGCGTCCCCGAGGGCAACATCATCGCCCTCGTGCGCGCTGGCAGTTCACTCTCGTTCGTGCGCAGCAAGGACTACTTCGCCACCACCGACTACACCCTCACCAATGCAGTAGTCTTCCTCTTCCACAAGAAGGTGGTCTTCATCGTCCGCGTACGTTCTTCCCCCGTCCCGCTTACCCACCGCTAGCGCGTCGACGTTGGCGTTGACTGATCACCGCGCTTGGCTATGCAGACGAGCTCGCGCCGGGGGTTGGAGCTCTGGTCGAGCGTGGACGGCGGCCAAGTGTACTCCCGCGCCCTGTTCCCCAACTCGGACCAGATTGTCGAGAAGGTGGCGTCTCGCTCCTCCTCTCAAGAGCCAAGCCAATCTATTTACTCACGGGCGTTGTGGTGGTGCCGCGGCGGCCACAGAGGTACACAATCTTGGACTTGGACGAGGGCGAGGCCTTTGTCAACGTGGATTTGGATGACAACACCAACTACGGTACCACCTTCGGCTCTGATCGCTTCGACCGCGAGTTTTCCGAAGTCCTCCGGTATACCTCTACCTCGTTCCCCTCACCCGTGCTGTGTGTCCTGGGTGTCGTGAGTGTCGTGGGTGACGTGGGTAACGTGGGTGTCGTGCCAGCGGTGCATGCGTTCGCTGAAGCTATCACCCCTTTTCGCTCTTCACCAGGTACAACAAGAGGGACCCCAGTGGAAGGGTTGACTTCCGTCGCGTGTTCGGCCTGGAGGGCATCTACGTCGCCAACCGCTTCAACGCCTCGGACGCCAAGTTCGCGCAGACCGTCCTCACCTTCAACAAGGGTTCAACCTTAGTCCCTCCCATTACCCTCTTCCCCCCCCCCAATCGACTCACTAACGGGGTAACGCGTGTGCAGGCGCTGATTGGAAGCTGTTGCCTGCGCCGGCCAAGGACCTCGATGGAAAGACCATCGCTGCGGGGAGCCTGCTGCACCTGCTGGGCAGGACCGACTCGTCGAAGCACAACCAGCTCTACTCCAACGAGAAAGCCATTGGGCTCGTCATCGCCAACGGCCAGGTGGGTCCGTACCTGCGCAGCTCGGATAAGATCGGCACCTATCTGTCGCGCGACGCCGGCCAGTCGTGGATCCAGATCGGGTGGGGCTCGCACACCTTCGAGATCGCCAACCACGGCGCCATCACCCTCTTCGCCGAGGACTCCAAGCCCATCACTGATCTCAAGTGCGCTTCTTCGTTCTTCTTCGTTCTTCGATCACTCGCTGACTTTAGCTGCATTCGCTTGCGGTGAAGGTACTCGTGGACCCAGGGCGCGTCGAGCGCTCAGTGCTCGTTCACGTCGAGGCCCATGACGCTCACCGACATCGCCACCGAGCCCGACAACACGGCCCGCACCTTCATCATGTACGGCACGCGCGACGCCAAGGCACGTTCCTCCCCCCGCCCTCGCCCCCACCCTCGCGGCCCCAGCTTCGCATTTCATGTGTCCCACAGCCTGGCTCACGCCTTTTTAATGAGTGCAGGGTGTGCTGGTCCACGTCGACTTCAACAGGGCCGTCCGTGCCTGTACGCATTTACCCCACTCTGCGGCTGTCGTGCGCGCGCCAACGCCGAGACTGACACACGAGTGTGTGTCGACACAGGCGCGGCGAGCGATTTCGAGAACTGGAGCCCGCTGGGCGACAAGTGCCTGCTGGGCGAGCAGTTCACCTACCAGCGCAGGAAGCAGGACAGCGTGTGCGTCGTGAGCGATGACCACCAGCCCTCGCACAAGGTCCAAACCTGCCCCTGCGTCGAGGAGGACTACGAATGGTACCACAGCACACACACGACACACACACACACCTCTTACCCAACTGCTTTCATGACTACAGCGACTTCTGCTACGAGCCCGTGGGGGCGAGGCCTAAGGTGTGCAAGAAGGTGTGCGACGAGTTCGACCCGACGAAGGAACCCCTTGAGTGCATTGACACCTGGTTCCAGACCAAGGGGTGCGTACCATCCCATCATTCCCGCTCGTGCGAACCCGCACCGCATCTGACCTGCGCCATGTGGTGGTCGTGGTGGTCGTGGTGCCGCTTCTAGATATCGCTTGGTTCCGGGCAACAAGTGCGACAGGGAAAGCGATGTCGCCAAGGCGCTCGAACCGACCGAGCACACCTGCAGCTCCGTCCCCGATTCAGGCTCACGCCCGGGCGGCCCCAGCGAGCTGAGCGGCGGTGCCAGTACGTACACCCGACCATGCATCGCCGCTAGCTGCGCTACGTACTTACCGCGCGCGTGTGTGCGGCGTGTCCCCATGTGCGTTCCAGTGTTTGGCATCGTGCTGGTGGTGCTGTTCATCCTCGGCGGCGGCCTTGTGGTGGCGGCCGTCATCCTCTCCATGATCAACCCGCAGTTCCGCGAGATGGCCGCCCGCATCGTCCCGCAGCGGTACCAGCAGTTCGGCGGCGCCTCCCGAGGTACTCTTCAGCACGCTTCGCACACACCGCACACATTGAGAGGGACACCGCGTGTGGTCTCACGGTGCCACTGCTGTATGGTGCACAGGGGACGAGGGTCGTCCGCGCGCGAGCGGTGCCGGGTACGCCAAGGTGGGCGGGTCGGGTTCGCTGCTCGACCAGGATGATAACAGCCTGGAGGGGGAAGAGGAGCCCGCGCCGTTCACTCCCTTCCCCTCGTCCTCCTCTTCGTCTTCTCGCCCGACCACCACCGGTGGTGACGATGAGGACGATGACTTCAACCCGAGGGTGTAAGTTCTCTTTTACACACCCCGTCCTCTTCATCTCTCGTTTGCCAGGCGAAGCTTTTGTGTGCAAATTGGGGTGACCAGCAAAGAAAGAGTTTTGTCCTGTTTCCCACGCCCCACCTCTAACAGGTACTGTTAGTTGATCTCTTTGTTGGTTCACCATCAGGCAGGAAACCACAGCGCGCGAGGTTGGAGAGCCCAAAAGATCTTGTTGGCTGGGACAATACGATCGAGGCTTGTTTTCGCGTTGGTAGTTAATAATCTGAACTATCAGAACTATCGGAACTATCAGAATCAGACATTATGATACGTCCTCTGGCAGGAGCAGCAGCGGGGGCAGCGGCAGAAGGACCAACACCGAAGGGGAACTTGACGCTGGCCTGTGTCTTCAGCGCCTGCATGTCCTTGTTGAGCTCGTCGATTTCGCTCCGTTGCCGCTTCAGCATGGTCTGCTGCTCCTCGACCAAGCGCGAGAGCCTTTGCACTGTGTCCTGCTGACGCTGGAGTATGGCGCGGAGGGGCCACACGGCGCACTTGTCCTCGTGGTCTTGCATGTGCCCACGTGCAGAGGTGAACTCGCATCCAACGTCGGCAGCGCGGCACGCCACCACCTTGGCCACACACTCGACGGCCTCGTGGTGCTTCTTCTTGGCTGGTGCCAGAGGCAAATAGCACACACTTAGGGTGCTTGAGTATAGCATGCTTGAAGAAAAGCCAGTAGCTCACAGGCAAGGGGATGTGAGTGCCTGAACTATTCTGTTTTACTTTTAAACACCAGAAACAGTTGGGTACTGAACTCAGTTCAGACTGAACTCAGTAAAAAAGTGTGGTTTGGTGGTGCTATGGTATCACAAGGAGGTCCTGATGATACCAGTTATGATGGGCATGGTATCATACCATTGATGCAGGCAGGCTATGATTGCACCAGTGGTGGAATGGAGAGAAAGAGCATTATGGGGTTTGTGGCATGTGTGAGTGTGTTGTCACATGTGTGGGGTGGGGTCAGGTTGAAGAGGAGGATGAGCCCTGCATGCACTCTGCTGATTCATGAGGAGTAAGCACAATGCTGTTATAGGGAGGGTCCAGGGCATGGAAGTAGCCCAGATAGATAAGCTTGCTGAAGAAGCCAAGGGTGTGCACATTCTTGTTTGCCCAGCCACAGTTGTCAACCAGTGTGAACAGTGCAATGACAAGGGTGAGCAACACCATGGCAAGAGGCACGACGGTGAGAGGCATGCGTGCAGGGCAAGAGAGATGAAGCAGAGATGAAGAAGAGCTAGGGATCTCTCCACTTCTGGTGTGTGCTGCTTGTTGTTGCGCCTCTTGCCATCATTCCTTACGCCTCTCATTCGCCTGGCGAAGCTTGTGTGCGAATAGGGGTAACAGGCGAACAAACAAAGAGTGTTGCTTGGCTCCCCAAAGCCCATTGCGTAGAGGGGTACAAGGGCACCCACCACCAGCTTTGATAGTGATGAAGGAAAAACTGTAATATATTAAAAGAACTTAAAGGAGAGGTCGGAGGGCCTCGAAGTTGAGGGACACCTTCTTGTCCTCGTCGATGGCGTAGGCCAGCACGGGTGTGCGCCACAGGTACTCCACTGTGAGAATCTTGTCCTTGCCCTGCGCATTACACCCCCCCCCAAGCAGACAAAACGGCGCGTTAGGGAAAATGGCGTGGCCGACACAGGACGGCATGGGCGGTGGTGTACCGGTGCGGGGTCGCCGAAGGCCTTGTTCATGCACCCGTTGGGCTTGAGCGTGTACCCGAATGCCCGCAGACCCTTCCCTCCTGACCCCAATCACCCCATTAGTATCGTGTGCGGTCGTGCGCGTGCGCGTGCGGTCGTGCGTGCGTGTTTTGTGCGAACCTTGTTCGGAGAGCATGATGCGAAGGGTGGTAGTGACGTCGTACACGCGGTTCTCGAGGCCGTAGGAGGCCTTGACGATGTCGGCGCAGAAGAGCTTCACCTCCTCCGGCGGGCTGCTCTTGCCCGTCGTCTTCGTGTACAGGTGGTCCATCGTCAACGTCATCTGCGCGCGGCCCATCGCCACCACCATCGTCACCATCATCGCCACCACCCGCTTCTGTCGCACAAATAGGCAAAGGCGGCGCACCTTGATGTCTTCCGGCTTGGTGAGGAGCTTGGGCGTGCCCACCACCTCGAACGAGAACAGCAGCTGCTTGTCCTCTCCCGGAGCAGGGTCACCTAAAGCCATTTAATTTATTAATATGAGTATAAACTCTTACGATTTATGAATAAGTATTTTGATTTTATAATTATTTGCCCAAAAACATAGAATTTGTCAATAGGAGTTGAAATTATAATTTATAATAGAAGGAGTTTAAAAACATAAAAGAAAGTACCGAAGAGGGCGTTCATGCAGCCGTTGGGCCGGAGGGTGGTGTATCCGAAGGCGTCGAGGGTGAGGCCGCCCTTGTTGAAGATGAGCTGCTGGAGAGTGGCCGTGACGTCGATCAGCTTGGTGCCCGCCCCGTACGAGGCCCGCACCACCCGCATGTAGGGACCCGACGGCACCGCAGTGGCGGTGGGCGGACGGGCCGCAGCCGTGGTGGCGCCCGATGGCCCGAAAGCCGGCTGCCCGCCCTCATAGCGCTGTGACGGGGGTGGCGCTGCGCCGTAGCGTCCCGAGTCGTACTGCTCCTCGAACGACATGTGATGCTGTTTAGTTTGGGTTTGGGTATTGTTGGTATGCAGTTTAACTGGCCTGTTTGTGCGAACGGCTGTTGCGTTTTCGGCAGACCGAAAGCCCGAAACCAAACGTTTGGTGAAATCCAAATGTGTTACACATTTCTCTCTACTTTTCTTGCATTTTCTTGATCGCCAAGCTTCGGGACAACAGCAAGAATGGAAGCGACGGCACCAGAGGCGGGCAGCGGGGCGAAACAGGCCGACGTTTTCATATGGCACTTCAACGACGTCTACGAGGTAACCTACATTTTTTAATTATCCTTTTGACGGCAAACAACTAATCTAATTATTTCTTGTTATTCAATATTAATAATTACTATTATTATATGTCCGCAGGTGGGAGAGCGTGCACAGGAGCCGGTGGGCGGGGCGGCCCGCTTTGCGACGGCCCTGCGGGCGCAGGCGGCGAGCAAGCCGCTGGTCCTGTTCTCGGGCGACGTCTTCAACCCCTCCCTCATGTCCACCGTCACCAAGGGCAAGGTACGCCAGCACCGCTTCTTTTCATGTCGTTGCATGCACGCCCCCCCCAACATGATCTGACTCTCTTTTTTCTGAATGTGTGCGATCGTGTGTGTCGTGCGTGTCGTGCCATCAGCACATGGTGCCCATTCTCAACGAGCTCGGCGTCCACTGCTCGGTGTTCGGCAATCAGTACGCTCTCACTTTCCTTCAGTTAACCTCTTTGTGCACGTGCGTGTGCGATAGTGCGCGTGTGTGTGCAGTGATGCGTGTGCGTGTGCGTGTGCGGTGGTGCGTGTGCGGCCTGGTGGCTCATGGGTGGGTCGTGTGTACAGCGACTTTGACTTTGGCGTGGACACACTCGTGAAGTACTCCAACCAGTGCAAGTTCCCGTGGCTGATGAGCAACGTCAACCTGTCTGCCACCCACCAGCCGCTCGCCTCCGGCCTCAAGACTCACCTCATGGAGTGGAACGGCGTCAAGATCGGTGCCGGCCCCCACCACACACGACCAACGACACGACCAACGACACGACACGGGGACTGATCGGTTGAGCGCGCGAGCAGGGCTGGTGGGGCTGGTGGAGGAGGACTGGCTGCAGACCATCGTCAACCTGCCCCCGGTGGAGTTCCTCGACTTTGTGCTCGAGGGCCGACGGCTGGCCAGCGAGCTGCGCGCGCAGGGCGCCCAGCTCGTCGTCGCCCTGACCCACATGCGCATGCCCAACGCCGAAAAGTACCGCGCCACACACATGACACACACACACACGACACACACACACACACACACAGCCGCCACGAGCTGATTGGTTGCTTTTGGTGATAATTGATCAATCACAGGCTCGCGCAAGAGGTCAAGGAGATCGACCTGGTGCTCAACGGCCACGACCACTTCTACGAGGTGCGCAAGGCCGACGAGACCGGCACGTGGATCATCAACTCGGGCACGGACTTCCGTAATGCCACCGTCGTCCGCATTTTCCTCTCTGGTACGCACCGCGCCCCCCACTCCACGCATCAGCCCGCCCAGAACACGCCGCGTGTTTTGGTCTGCCCTCGCTCACGCACTACCGCACACGCTTTGCCACACGCACACACACACGTACCACGCACACGCACACCTCGGGCGTGTTGGGTCTGCAGATGGACACCCGCCTCGGTTCGAGTTGGAGCGCGTGGACATTACGAAGCGATTCGAGGAGGACGCCGCGGTGAAGAAGATCGTGCAGGAGTACTCCGAGGAGCTGGAGACCCGGCTCCAGAAGGTCATCGGCTGGGCCGGCGTCACCCTCGATGCCCGGTACCACT